CCCCCCCCCCCCCCCCCCCCCCCCCCGCCCCCCCCCCCTGCTGCTGTTGAAAAATATGAACTCAATTTTCTCCGATTTTGACAAAAATGATATGAAATTTTCTCTCGCTTCAAACATAATATATCGGTAATATTCTCCCATTTTGAAGAAAATATGTATCAACTTTCTTTAACTCGGTAGAATATATGTCTGAAGATTTCTCTATTCTAAGAGAAAATGTATCCGAATTTATGCCCAATTCGTTATCAAAGATGTCTCAAATTTGCTCCAATATTATTGTGTACATTAGAATCATCTACTTTAGATCAAGTAAATAATGCAGAAGTAGCTGAAAGGCGATAGAAATATAAAACTAGTCGTCAAAATTAGTTTGTTTTACTTTGTTTTTGATTTTCAAAATACTTTTTATTAAATATATGAACGAACATGCAGTACAATATTTTTTTAATTACTTATATATTAATATTTCAACTGGTTGAATTCTAAGCGATTTTTAAGACTTTCTCCCATTTAAAAACAAATACCCTCTCCTGCTTTTAGCCCTTCGCGCCGCCACTGACTATAATAAACTTGAATACCGACATGTGTTAAATCTCCGTCTTCGAAAGTTCAGCTTCTTTTCATATATATGGTTTCGACAATTGCTTTAAGTAGTTGTTGAAATACATGAGAAATCATCGAAGCAGGCTCAAAGTCACCTTAACATGTAGCCAGAATACAGTATTTCTATTTCTTTCTGTCGTCTTTCTCATGATAAGGCGCATTCTATACTATAACTCCTCTGTTCTTCATCTTTCCTCTTTGTTCATAAAATGGTAGCGACTCATCGTTTTTCTTTTTTTGAAATGATGAGTACCAAGGACAAGGATTCTTATCAAAATTTTACAATAAACAACGAGCAAATCAACAGCTCTATGTTGGAAGATAACACATCCGAGAAAAGCCAACAAAACAATCGAAATATACATAAAAGAATCAAAGAAGGCAATGAGTGATTCGAATGTGAACATCGTAATTCATCAGATTATCAAATGTGAGCGAAGAACAATACTACACGGTACTTCAACAGCAGCTCACCAGGAGAATCATTCCGACAATAGGATCCTATCGGATTCCGACAAGGGTCAGTCCGTGAATATACCGATTACCATATGTGTTTCAATAAAACCGACAAAATCTTATGGGATTCCTGGACACGGACCTACAGTCGGATCCTTGGTATTGGATCCGATCGAATCCGATGTCTCAAAATACTTATTTGACTGTGAATAAGAAAATGATTTTCCCCGTCGGAGCCGGCAATAGGTCCGTGTCCAGGAATCCTATCGGATTCATTCACCTGGGCAAATACGATTCTACATACGCCACAAATATCAAATGAAGTCTTACCACGATCTGCTTTTCCATCGTTTCGACTTTCATTCAATGACAATCAACTGCCGTCGGAGTTGTCGATCATCAAACATATAAATTGTCAATGCCGCATTAGTCTTTCATACGGTCGTTATTCATCGTTTGGTAAGAAGAATAGTTTCCTAATTTATGCTAACTCAGCGGATCAACATGATCGTCTGATGACCAAAGCATATGGACTATGTTGGTATGTGATCTGAGCTATGTTCTTGATTTACTATCCAAAATAGCTACATTATATTCTGTTATCATATTGAACATTCCGGTTCAATGGGACATCAAAGCAATAGAAAAGGACATTAAAAAACAATATTCCATAATTGCCAAAGTAACACCAACAACAACAAAATTCATTACCATCTGTATGGATCGCAAAATCGTATGAACAACACGCATCCGTCTATTCCCCTAGTTTAGAACAATGATAAACGAAAACGAAAACACAAACATGATATAACAATAGCCGATATCTCAAAGAAGCTCGATGTTCTGATGACAAAAGTCGATGATTTATCGATCAAACAATTGAAAACAAACAAAATTTTTGAAAATTACACTGTATCATTGTTAGCGATAATGATGTAACTTACTAACACTAAACGAAGTTCACTTTTTCTTCGTTCGTCACATAACATCAGTGACAAAGCAAATTCGACATTTCGTCTTCAACACAATCTCTCCATATCTACGTGAACTTGATAATTCATTTTTAATCATATGTAAAACAGTAGAATAGGATCGATTACGTGCGATGCACACAAGTTTCAAAGGAAAACTGGTATATCATAATAAAACCATAATCATTGTTTCTCAATCAAATAATTCTAGTAATACAACGTTAAATGAACACAACTGCTGATTTTTTGTATCACATCAAAAGGAAACTTACTCATTCCTGCTGATGATTTGGTAAAGAAAGAGCACGAAATAACATCTACAGAAAGGAGGAATGCCATCTCTATTCGACCATGTATGCTTCCAAGTCACGAGATTCTCCGTGCCATAGATATGTTGTATCTTTCTATTTTTCTTTTCTAAACTTTCGTAGTATTTTTTTTCGTTTTAGTGTTCTCGACCTTTGTTTTTTATATATGCTACAGGACCGATGTTCGCTCATAGCTGATACAAAATATTCCTGCAGTACTCACCATGATAAAGCATTATATTAAAAAAATATACTATTTCAGACCATCTTTCACTTCTAAGATTCATCCAGATATTCGAATTTTGGATCATTTTTCTTAATATGAGAGATACACCATGACCATGTCTAAAATGTTCTTGTCGGCTTGCCTCTAGAACCTTTTGATAAATAGCTAAAAATTATTTGAACAAAGACTAAACCCAAACGTTTGAACTCAACGCATGCCTAATTCAATGCAAGTCGTTGTCCGAATATGAACATTTAATTTCATTTTTATATGCCTGCTCAGCGGTTGATTGAATAAATGAAACTTGCACTATGAACAATCAGCATACTAAAGTTTAGTCAGCTACTTTTCTTCTTATTATTTATAGTAAATGAATAGTCTCTTGGCTGTCCACTGTAGCATGTATTCGCGCTTCTCGATCATCCTGTGCTTTGGTCTTGCATTATGCATTTCTGTTCATAATTATGCGACACCCGCACATGCTGCGTAGCGTTTCTATAATCCTCGCATCACTCCCATACTTCTTGCCTCATATTTTGTATCAGAGATATTTCTCTTGTTGCCGCAACACATGAGATATTAACGCGTCACCTCGAATGCTATAAGCATGATCTAAACTACTACAACCATCACTTAAAATGCTATGGGTTTCCATACCCTCAACTAGACTTCCACTCTTGTTAATTTTCCACTAGGAATTCCACAAGAATAATTATTAATAGGTATTGTATCACCTAATTTCCACAAGTAACCTTCATCGAAAATCGATTCACTGGGCCCTAGACTGACAGTGCTGAGGAGAAGAAGTACATGAACAGGACAGAAACTCGGTTGTTTGTGCCAGCAGCTGGCGATGATATTTTCAAACAGACCTATAAAGGGAGTGGGAATAAGTGAAACTGATGTAAGAATTAGACGAAAATTAAAGGTTTCAAGTAAAAGCGCCAAAAGTGAACACGAAAGATGGACAGAATGGGACTCAAAGGTCCTTAAGGCGGAGGAGAGTTTGAGTCTTACCTAGCCACAAACATATATGTTTCAGAAATTTCGTGATGATTAACTCAAAGTTCCGTAGGGAGATCAGCTCGCTTCCTCCACGGACTCCATCTCCAGAGTGGACTATTTCACATGACCATGTCATGCATCCCCCATGGTTTGTGCCGTAACAATGCCTTTTGTTTCATAAAAATGGTCATTGGTACCATACGGATGATCATTTTGTACCGTACGAATGGTCATTTGTGCCATAGAAATGGTCGTTTATGCCACACAAATGACCGTTTGGGTCATTGTTACAGACAAACAGACATAGGTGAGTTACGGTTTCTAGACCCTATCCTTTCAGTCTAGTGAATCTGAAATACAATATTAAATATAGCAGTCAATAGAGTCCATCTGATCAAAAAGCTATGGACATATACCCAGGCCTGAAAATAAATATTGTTAGATCTGGAACCTGTAAAAATGATGTTTCAATTCGGATCCTGTCGAACAACGGTTTTATATTAGTAGTAAAATATTCGAATCGGAATTTGGCAGCCAATTCGCGGACCAGAAGTGCTGCTTCTCCAGTTTTGTTCACGATGATCGGCATACCTACATATTTGCGAGTCCATATTCGCCGCTGAAAGCCATCAAATCCAAGATTTTTGATCTGGAGCACGATCCGAACATTGGAAAAGTGATCTTGGAACTGAAACGGGTCCTGAACCTGAGCGAGTTCAGTGTTAGATTGTACCCGACTGGTAGGGGTGTCACATTTAAATTTTATAAAATTTACTAAATCGAGAAATAAATGTTGAAAAATTTTAATTCAAAATAAATAAATAAATTTTTAAATGAAAAGTTAAATTTAAAATTTTGTAACATTTAAATTTAACTAAATTTAGATTAAACTGTTTGAAATTCAAATTATTTAAATTTTGAAAACTAGTAGATAAACAGAGTTTTTGACTTGATTGCTATTATTTAAAGTCGCATTTGAGTACGTTTCTTGTTTTCTAAAGTTAAAGCTAGTCATTGTTCTACGAACTGTGCTATTAAATATATTTTTATGAGTATCCCGGTATTTTGAAAAAGAAAGATGCCGGATCCTGCATAACCTGTAGGGAAATTTGGCTATTATGAACAAATATTAACCTAAAATACTTGGTTCTCCTCTCATTTAGTATTTACTACTGTTAATGTCACGCATTTTCCTCATAGCAATGATGAGTATCCATTCAAACAATCTATTGAATTTAAATGATTTTTCAGTCCAAAAATTTAATTTAAATTTAACTTGATAGAATTTAATTTTAAATTAAATTAACTTTTCGCTAAGTTAAATTTAAATAAAATAAACTGTAAATTGACACTCCTATTGGTGACTTTGTTCATATAATATCTGGTTTAGTAAATGAATCATGATTGATGCTTTGAAGACTTCATAATCCTTTGAAATTTTACTTATTGATGTGACCAAAATGTCAGATGAACATAAAAACTAATGATTGAAATTAGAACCAATCCGAAGAGTTCTAAGCTCGGTTTCTAATTACCAATTAAACGGCTAGAAGTTATGTGGTCGAAATTGATATTATCGATTGACTCAAAATTCGAGATACTTGATCTAATGATTTCATATAACTGTTCGATTTATAATAACATTTTCCAAGAGTATACATCTTGCTTTCGTTTTAGTGCTGCCCAAATCAAATTCAGATATGACTATGAAAAAATCAAAATGGCACGAATCAAGTTTACAAGAAGAAATTTTCTATTTTTTTTTTGCGTAAAGCTGGTCAGTGTGAAACGAATCTTAAGAATTGTGTATCTTTGCATATAACTCATCATATGGTCCTGGTTCTAATCACACTTTTTCCAATTGAAATAATTAAAATTTCTAAGCATTGTCTTCAATTGTAGTATCATGAAATGACTTGATTTTAACTGACAATTATTTTTTAATTTATTTGATTAATTCTTTTCGCTCGGACAAAACAAACAATTATAGACACTGTATCGCACTCATATTAGAGAAGAAAACCAGTACAATATTTTCATTCGTATTAAATGTTCAACTGAAAACTTAATGATGCCACTGATGTAGGAAGATTTTCAAATGAATATGTGACTAGACGCGAGCAGAAGATAAAGAAGCAACAAGAATAAAATGTATGGAAAAAATAGAGCACCATCATTATACAATTAGATATTCTATATACAAATGCTTATACGAAGAATTTATATCTATATATGTATAATGAACACATTCTCTGTGTTAATATTGTAAGCTAGTATTGATTGATGATCTTTTTTATTTTTGCCTTGATGATCTTAATGATTGTTACACTGTATTGTTGATCTAAATGAAACAAAAATGACTTGAAATGAAAACAAAAAATTTGATAAAAATAGAAAGAAGCATTAGTAATCAAAGCAAATCTATTAATTGCCTACACATAGTCTGTCTTTATACAGAATCATCATTAGCATATATTTGACGACAAGTTGATTTTGATTTCTTATACTAATTATAATTTCAATAAGAATGTAAAAGAATGTCTATCTCGTTCAATACCTTTATCGATGGTGAATGGCCATTGGTATAAACATTTGTTTTATCTGATTGATGGTCACCATTCATCATTGGTGTTGTCTGATGGTCTCTATAACAAAAAAAAGTCCATCGTTTAGTAGTTTTATCATAGATAAACAAACAGATTAAACTTTCATACAACAAGAATTACTTTTACTATTTAGAAATCCTGCTAGAACACTCAGAAAATCACTTAAAATATTAGTTACATTAATAGAAAAAGAGTTCTTTTATTAACACCTGTAGCGTTCATATACTTTTTTTTCTAAATTATTCCTTCCGAGAGCTTAAAACCAAACTAGAAAAAAAGCTCGTTTCATGATATTGAATTCGATGCATCGATTTCGACAGTTATTCTAGTATTATGTTAAAATGCGTCCAAATTTTCGTAAATCTAGTAGGTTTTGAAAATTTCAAGTTCACGTTAGAACTTGTGTTCATTTTCATCCTGTGATCTACCATATCGCATTTAAGCATGTTTATGGCTGAGAGTAACCGTAGATAACTTACGAATTTGTTGTTTCATGTTTAGCATCAAGTCGGAATAGCCGTAGTAGAACGCACACAGTAACGACAATTACAGCTGAAAAAATAATCGCTATTATGATTGCAATAATAATCCATTTGCTTGGTTGAGTTTTTCTATCATCTGTTACTAATGAATTTCTTCGCATTGTATTATATTCTAGAAAAAATTAATTCATTATTTATTGAAATTAATTTCGAATGTAAACTCTTTTCTTCTATCCCACAGCTGTCCAGAATAGGTCGATTCATTCTATTAGTTTATACGTCGGTTTCATTTATTTCTGTGAGAACGATTGAATTATTAAATAATCTAAGCTAAAATATCGTGATTTAAATATTGTTCTGTATTATCTAGTAAAAGTGTCTGAAATGTGCATGATGTAGAGGTAAACTATGTAGTTTTCAATAGTATAATATTTTCTTTCTTACCATTACTTTCTTGATTTGTTTTGATACGAAACTTTTGTTCGGCAACACCAACTTCATTATATAATTTTATTATAACAACATAGTTTGTATCGGGTTTCAAACCAGTTAATTCATATTCAGTTGTTGATGAATCGATTGATATTGGTGTACTTATTGCTCCGTCAATATCTAGACCACTATCATCTTTTGCCTAAAAAGAAGAAGCAATAGATCCAAAATACGGTGGATATCATCAGAAAAAATAATAAAAGCAGCAGTTAAACCATTACAACGATGTCTACAGAATTTTGATGTTTCTTAAAACTTATCGCAACCGTCTGAAAAGCAGTTGCTTACCAATGCATAAAGTATTTCTGTTCGAAGAATGGGTGCTCCGCCATCTGATTCAATATTCCATGAGACTAAACAACTTTCATCACTTAAACAAGTTCTATTTATATTTTCGTCTATTGTAAAATCTGGTATTTGTCTATCAAGTGTTCGAAATTGTATCGGTCCTGCTTGTTGGCCAACGCCAGCCCGTGATTCGGCAACAATTAGTAATTGATAATTTGTACTTGGTCGAAGATTTTCAATTCTTATTTGCTTAGTCGATTTTTGTGCTAAAACGTGAACAGATTTTGATAGTAAAATCATCTCTATAAAATATATGTATATATATATATATAGAAATTACCAGGAATAATTAAGGTTTGTAGTTGACTTTCTTTTGCGTCTTGTATATCATATTTCAGAATATATTGTATAACAGGAAGATCATCAGTTTCAGATGATTGAAAAAAAATTTCTACACCGCTTGATGATGGTTTAACATGAGTTATATTGATTTTTTTCGGTGGTTGTGCACGTTGCAATGTAAACGAGTGTCGACCAATACGTGGATTCAATGCTCGACATTCAAAACTTAAACCAAAATCAGCTTCTGTTGGAGTGTACTAAATAAAACATCTTCTTTTTTTTTCTTTTTATTTCAAAATATATAAATATTTACTGAGAGAACGCTTTCATAAAGTGTTGTTCCGATTTGTTTTGTTGTTATATCATTAACACCATTATCAATACCGACGGCAAGCGTTCGTCCTTGAGGATCTTGTATTGTTCGACTCAGTTTAATCCATTGCATTTGTGGCGATGGATAAGATTCGAATTGACAACGCATAATTGAACGATAATTTGGAATTGTTGTAACAATATTCGTATTTGGTCCAATATAAACTGGTTGAACTATAGAAAGAAAATATAGAATTATTTTCTAATCGTCGATAATAAAAACCTACATTGAATAAGAAGACTTGCTGTTGCATAGGTACTGTCTGCAAGATTTTTTGCAACACATGAATAATTTCCAAAATGTTCTCGACGAACAGGATCAAAACGTAGTTCAATTGATTTATGTGTTTCATATTGAGTTTTATCAATAAGTATTCCATTTGTTGGTTGAATCGATGTATGATTAATATATTGCCATTCTAATGCGAGGCTATTCGATGAACCACGTTCAACTCGACATTGAAATGAGACACGTTGTGCATGCTGACTATCAAGGTTGAGTTCAATCGGTGGAATTAATGATAGACGAGGTGGAACTTAACAAGCATAGGCGATTTAAATTTAAAAAAAAGATTTCTTTAAATCAATTTTTACCGACTACATTTAAATTATATTCAGCACGTTGTCCTTTTCGATCAAATTCATTGAATGCTTGACATGAATATTTTCCATTGTCAGTCTCATCGACATAATTTATCGTCAATTGATTTCCACGTACGACAAATTTCGGTACTTCACTCGCGCCAACAGGTGATTCCTAAATCAAGCAACAAAACATGAAAAATTTTAATTCGCACAAAAATATCACGTCTATCGGAAATCAGTATATATGTTGCAAGGGAGATTGAAATGCAGGGCTATTTAAAATAGCCCTTAGCGGACATTGAAATTTTAATCTCCCCTACGGCAGATTAAAATTTTGTTTTTTTCCCGGTTCAATTTATGAGGAAAAAGTAAAGATTTTGGCTTCAAAACGTACTACATTCGCACCCACATCAACATTGACATCTAATTATCAAGTTCCATCACATCAGTCTTTTCCAAATACCTGAATTCGCGCAAAAGACACTTATCTTATTTGTGGGTATGGATGGATGTAGCGTGTACATGAGGGTGTGGGTGTAGGTGCGTGTATGGGTGCCAGTATTAGTGTGGGTATGAATGCAGTACGTTTTGAAATCAAAACCTTTGCTTTTTCTCATAAATTGAACCCGGAAAAAACAAAATTTTAATTTGCCCTAGAGGAGATTGAAATTTCAATTTCCCCTATGTGCTATTTTAAATAGCCGTGCATTTCAATCTCCCCTGTAACATATATATTAAATGCACGTGCAATACGCCGAATAGATAAAGCGCACACAAACAAAACTAAAGCAAGTTTCATGCGACTAACAAAAACCACTTGTTTTCAGCCATTTCATTCATATCGACTTGACATTTTATTTCATCACTCACACTGTATTCTGTATCTTTTCGAAATATTTTGCGACATCAAATGATAGTATCATAGTCAAAATTACAGGTATCAAATTTGGTTTCATCTCGCTGAGCAGAAATCAATTTTCTTATTGTTGTTAATTATACGAAAAGAAAAATTCAAAAATATTAGTTTTCAAAAACCAATGAAACACACTCGTTTACCGCAATAGTCAATACATTGATCTGCACAAATAAACAAAAAACACATGCATGCATATGACAAGTACTCGAAACAGGAACAAACTCATGCGTCTTTTTCTTTCTATTCGAAGTATTCATCTTACTTTAACGGGTCTTAATTCATCCACCTAGAGATTTATTATTGTTATTTATTTTCCTCGTGTTTTTCCTCAAATAAAAGACAATTAATATCGTACCGATCCATAGAACCATGAATATCTCGGCGACGGTAAACCGGATGCTTCACACGTTAGTGTTGCTGTTTTTTTCTCAATAGCACATGGATTAACACAAGTAATACGTGTTTCGCTAATTGGCTCTAAACAAAGAGGAAATAATTTACTTTTATAATCTATTCTCAACATACTTGATACAATAACAGATATTGGATAATCACGAGATTCGCCTGTTTCAAGAACATCACCACGACACCAGAATATGTCATTGTCGGACATGTTAACCTGTTTTATATGTAAACCGTCGTGAACAACTTCATAATTTGGATTTTCTATTAAAGGAAATCAATTGAAAAAATGATTCACACAAGTTCATAGTTTAGAAAACGAACCGATTCGTAATTTATCTTGACCTCGAAACCAAGAAACTTCTGCTATTGGATTTGCTTGAACATAACACTTGATAGTAACCGATTCTCCGAATGGTACATATTGCATAGAATCCCCATGGAAAGTGATAGGAACTAGAAAAATAAAACGAAATTAATTCTTGTTGTTACTATGAAATTTCAAATGCGCTAAACCTTTAACAGTCATTTGTAATGATTTTTTTGTTTGTTCACCATTCTCATTTGTGCCAATACATTCCCATGTACCTAATCGTTTTATTATTATTGACTAATGAATATATTTAAGTAACAAGAATCGACAGGCTGACATTTCAGAACTCATCAGTAAAATATCAATGACAGAACTAAGACTATTTTAGAAATCTTTTTCAATATTTGAATAACTGAACTACAATCTTAATAACGTGGCCTGTACTTTTCATTATTACGTAGATACATCAAAACTATCGTAATATCAACATAGGACGAGTGCGCTCATCAAATTTATAACTTTTGCACATATAATACATTGTTGAATAAAAGAAATACAAAATAGAGTACCCGGGGGAATACTCTCATCTATACGCTTTTCTCTATCAATAGTACCTTGATCGTCAATTGTTAAATTTCTAATTCGTAATCGAATTCCATTAGTTTGTCGTTCAACAGTAACACTAAAATAAAAGATATGAAATGTCAATGTTTCGTCTTTTTTTTTTAAAGTTCATACCGTTCAAAGATATTCTCAGGTACATCTTTTTGTTGCGGCGATCGCCAAAGAAAAGCTCGGCTCTCCGATTGATCAGTACATAAAGCAATAAATGATTTATGTTGATCTTTTGTTAACAAAGTTTGACTTGGTTTTATAATCAATTCACCATGAATTTGCGATAGAGCTACAAAATAAAAATATATTCAATGCATAAAATTTTATCATATATTTCTAAAACAAAACAAAACTACTCACCTAAACTCAGTACCAATAGAACGAGCATTGTGTATACTTTTAAAAAATTCAATCTAAAATGACTGAAAAAAAAAAGAAACCATTCATTAAATCTTATCGTATATAGGATCAATGAACCTTTTTTTTTTACATTTTGTTCTGTAAAAAGAAGTCATACTATTACTGCTTTTCTTTGTTTTTTACTCTACCATTAAATATGAGATCTGTTGTGTCAGTATGAATATGCCTATATACTTATACAGTTGGAAGAAAATGACAAGCGCTGCCTTTCACACGTCTTATGAGCGTGTATTCATGCGTAATTGTCGGCAGTGAGAAGAAGGAAGAAGAGAGAGAGAGAGAGAGAGAGAGAGGAAAAAATGCAAGACAACGCGAATGAACAGTGTTTTTTTAAAAGACATTTCTCTCATACGTTGTTCCTTTCTTGCCAGTATAACATGAATGCATCCAATATGTTACGTAAACTGATGCGTGAGTTAATAAAGAACACACTAACGTTTAAAAAGAAAGACTCAAGGATATAATTTATGATACTAGAAGAATATAAGAAAAAAAGGGAAGTTCATTTATTATCACATTAATTGGAAAAAAGTCGATTTATAACACGAACGATTCCATCGATAAGTTTATAATAAAAAGTGCAAACGAGGTTATTCAGAAATAAATCACGCCAGTTGTTTTATAACTGACAGCATTGCTGCACAGCATGACTAAGGTCAAATGTATACGATTCGTTATTCATTAACTTTTAGTCTTGATGTGCACATGCTTGAAAAGAATGATAGAGAAAGTTAAACAATAAGTGATTGATGATAAACAACAAAAAAAAACAACATCAGCGAATGAAAATATGCCTATGATATATTCTACCTGTATAAAGCAGGCCAAGTGCGACATATGCTCAATGGTGAATCAATCGAACAATAGTTGAATCGCGTGTATACATATGTGCGCTAGAGATCATCGAAGCAATGTGTATCTAAGTGCTCGTATAATGAATTATTGATCAAATCATACGATGGGCAAAACGAATGGACTATGCATGTGTCCACATCATGAGATTAGTGTTTGTGTGTATATGCATATACAGAGAAAGAGAGAGAAAGGGGAGGGGGGGGAGAGAAAAATTAGTATTTGCTTACGAAAAAGAAAAATCGGCATGTACTCTTGGGCTTTTTCTTCATCACCATTATGTTAATCGTAGAGAAGGTATACATACAAAAGGAAAAAGCAATACGTATAAAGTGAACTTACCTTGACAAAGAATGACCACTCCTTATTGTTTTTCTTTTCTTCTTTTCAAAAAGCTTAGCAGACAGGTGTCGTATGTACTAGAGCGCGTGCTATTTGTCTATTCGATAAAACTATACATGCCTGAACGACACTATAAATTATTGAGATTTTTTTTTGTCTCTCTTGTTTTCTGTCTCACATGCTTCGTCAGTCAATAGATACAATTAGCTGTCTTAACAAATGTTTGATCCTAGCTTGAAGGCATATGGTATGCATGATCTCAATTCGATGCGAGTCTGTCGAGCAGTTAGAGCCACTCTAAAACGGAAGTCATCATAAATGCTAAATCACTAACGTTTGTCTAAAATAATCAAATCTAACATTGGTTCCACTCGGATATGCAAAAATATGTTATAGAATGCTCGATTTTACGATTGACGGACAGATAATTGCTCCTACTGAATAATTACTCTGATGTGATGAAAGCCGGATTAAAACTACTTTCTTTTTTCTTTTTTTTAAGAACAAGCATACGTTACCGACTCTCTAATTTGACATGCGACATACCGCTGAATCTCTTCACCTGAACCGATCATTATTTCGTCATTAACAATGTCGAATAATCCTTCTTCTCATCATCGTACATGTTTTCCTATGTTATTGAGAATCATGATTGACAATATTAATGAGAGAAGAAGAATAGTCGTATACTCATTCTTGGACAACTTCATTAATCAATGGACAGACGAATAGGAAGTTCAATTTGTCTAGTACATTGAAATAAAATTATGAAAGTGATCTAAGAAATCTTGATTGATGTTATTCAGTGCTCGAGAAAAAAAAATATATATGTATATCTACTCATTTTTTCTAAATGAAGAATGGCAATTACCATCAAGTATAAATCTCAAGTGAATTGTCATCAGACACATTGTCTTGCACAATATAAAGTGTTAATCTAATGAACGATCACACTATCAACATCCCCATGATGGCCAGTAATAGTCGACATCGAAATAATATTTGCATAACGTGATCGACATGTTGTCTGGTGCCAACATTGAATTTGTTTATTGAATTTTTTTCTTCTTTTTTTGTTTAATAAAATCTACTATGTTTGTTCAATTTGAATATTTCTCGTATACCTTCTGTCTCTATTGAATAGGCGCACAGACACGACTTCAATGTTACATGATGCATGAAGAACATACAACTTCAATAATGATAAAATAATGTCAGATACGTTTGAAAAATTTTACTGTTTCCCGAAGACAAGCAAATATCCGGATTCACTGTTTACGATAATAATTAATCTGATTCTCATTTCATGCCGCAGGTGTTAAAATAAAAGAGCAATGTGATGAATAGAAGTGAAGGAAAGGCGTCAGAATCACAAAATCAATATCTATATACTTGAGCTTGAACAACTGACCGATAGTCATTAGTTTTAACACTCATGTGCACGAAAATATCTTAAGGGAATGTGAAGTATTTGCACGTTCAATATCGAGAAAACACCAAATTGTTTTGATTAAATTGTATCATATATAAACATACTCGATAATATTTGTTAGTCAATACAAAGGTCAAAAAGTAGCCGCTTATCAATGATCATTCAAGAGGCTATGCTCTATAGTAACCAAATAAATAAGCCTATGTCAAATAATGTTGTAAGCCGAAAAGTTAAATAAACTCGAAAGCAAAAAAAGAATATGCGTTTGATTTATTTTAATCTTATTTGATCAAAGTTATTCTGTCGTCATATAACATTTACCGATGATGCTCATAGACAATCGATTGAATTAGATAAAATTCATTGAATTCCAATAAAAGATTTAAATTGTTTTACATAATGTTTGAATGCAATAGAAAAATAATGATTTCTTTGTTAGTGTTCAAAGTAAAGCGCATAAAAAAAAGGTAGAGACTTCATGAAATCATTTTTCTCTCATCAGTTGAATTATGAATGATTTCTGTTATTCTAATGATGTATATTTTCTCATTATATAAGTAACACTCACCACGCACCAATATACTTAGCATTACGCTGACGAGTTTGACGTAAGGTATTCAATTACTTTTACTCGGAGAAATGAAATGAAGGGTTACTAGACGAACAAAGAACATGAGACGTATATAATAATGATGATTAAAAAATGTACTCTTGAGAATTCGATACATATATTCTCGACAAAATTAAACTAGCTGAGGTAGAAATCATGTTTAATTAGATGTTAAGCCAAGACATGTTGTTTTTCTTTAAAAAATACATTCTAATTGCTCTTGGCATATGGATATACTCATAGTTACTTATTGTAAAGAAGTGAGACAATTCGAGAGCATCAAATAGATCTCAGTTGTCAACTATGTAGTTACATTAGTTGAGTTGTGTATAATTTGATTTTAAGTTTTTCATAATTGAAGAGTGATTTATATTAATTTGAATTCATCTAGTACTGTGAAATCTAAAAGATTGAAGGAGGTCAAGTGAACTTGTTGCTATCAAATTTTCGATTTCTGTGAAGTGGATATATTTCATGAAATACTGCGACAGTCCTGACACTTACACTACTCACAATATCGATAAGAATCAGAATGTCGGATCATGATATTCTTTCCCCGAAATGTGATATTATTCATCAATATTTACTCATCTTGATCAAAATTACATGTTCCCAATTGATTTATGGATTAGAAATGATTGGTTAATGTCGTGCTTATTTCGAAAATTTGAGTTAGTAACCAAGTCAAATTGAAATAAATCAATTACTACCTATCATTCAAGACATCATATCTATTAGAGATGGTCTATTCTACTATGTTCCCCGAATAGTTGTCACATTTATGTTAACTAAGCAAGTATATGCACTCTGGTTGCTGCATGCTATTTGTAACATTTTTCAAAATATCAGGCCTTCATGAATCATTATTTTCTAGTAGTTGGCGCTTTAGTCAAGGAAATACTTTCGGTCCATCAATGTTGTTTGCGTTTATTTTGTGACACACTACACGAAATGAAAATAAAACAAATTGTATGTTTATTTCAGAACACGTGATACTACGAAAACAATTTTTTTTTGCTTTCTTTGAGAGATAGAAATACGACCGATGTTGGTATTTTCTGCGCACACTACAGCGTCATCATACAAAACGTTTTTTTCTTGGGAATTTTCGTTACTTCCTATAGCATTATTATGACGTCTGCACACACATATACAAAAAAAGACATAATCAGATTGGCTCTGTTGGAATTTTAAAATCTTCCAACATGAGTAGACAGTGGAGCTATAAAAGCAAACAAAACTTTACATTTCAATTGCTTTCTTTGAAAGAATAAATACTTACGATGGTTTTTACTATGAAATATCAGACAACAACGAAGTTAAGTAATAATGACCCTACGACTTGCCAATCGAATTGCTGCTCTGTGAACTCCTGTAAGCGACGAATCTCAGAGATTAAAGATGAAGTATGTTAAGTATCACTGTTCAATTAATATTATAGGCGAATAGAAAACTGTTAGTAAATTGAAGAAACAGTTTCTTGAAGATTTGGGCATTTAAGAGTGTATATTGAATAATGATAATTTAGACTTGTGCTCATACAATGCATATAAATCTTTTTAAAATAATAGACTATCTTCATCGTGAGTTTGGGTGTCTTTGCAGAAATAGAGTAACCCGAACCCAGCCGCTTCCAGCATAGAAAGGCAAGGTCTTCTATAAGATTGCAGTGAGTTGGCTTTATTTTATTTGAAGTCCTATTATGTCTAGCGATTAGAATAGGGATGCAACGGTGACGATTAATCGTTCACCGTTCCACCGCTTGAGACCGATGCATCGGTGGACCGGGGCCCGGTTCACCGGTGAAAGCTGGAAAGACTACAAAACACCTACGGTGAAGGCCGGTGCAGTGGTGCTACCAGATCACACTGATAGAGATATCTCTGAATCTTAGAAAAAACCGGCCTTCACCGTAGGTGTTTCGTAGTCTTTCCGGCTTTCACCGGTGAATCGGGCCCCGGTCCACCGCTTCACCGCTCCAACCGGGGCCCGATCCAGCGGTGCACCGCTCCACTGTTTCACCGGTCTCAAGCGATGAAACGGTGACGGTGGAACGGCTTTTGATCCTCACCGTTGCATCCCTAGATTAGAACTTTCAGAGGTGGTGTTTTATGTTAAGGGGAATGAGCAGAGAGATTCGAAACCATATATCAAATTTGAAAATAATGATGTACCGACTATGTTTAGTGAAAATGTTTTAGAAAACCGTTGGTAATATAACTTTGAAATTCATAGTTTCCAAAGGCATCATATGAGTTTAAGGAACGTTGGAAACATCATAGAAAAATGAACTAGCATCTATCTGCGTAAGTGGTGATGCTTTCCTACTTTTCGCATCGTCCACAGAGCTGTCCCGCTAATTTTTAAAACTGTGAATACAACTCTCACTGTTTCTCTTTTGTTGGAAGTCAATCTCTTGAATCGTTGCCTCTCTCTTTAGTAGTTCTAAGTGAATCCAAATGATTGAACGCAGATATCGCAAGTAAATGAGTCCAATAAAGCCATCGAATAGATAGTTCATTAAGGAAAATTTTCCCACTTCGTATTTCCATCGTCTAATCAGCTGCGTTTAGATATACTCGATGTTAGCAAATATAACAATAGATTTTCTTTTGCACTACTGGATATTTTCCCTCGTGTGTTCTGGCCATTTCCCATCTGCTTGGGTACAATAGCCAGCATTATCTTTCTAATGTATTATCTATGGGTATATTCTCATTGCCTTCTCACATTTGATATAAACATCTGTTGTGTCTATGAAAAAACGAGATTCGTAGTGGAGAGGAGAACGCCATAATAAAGAACTCAAATAAATCTTTTATAACTACAAATCGACATAATGCGAACATGAAAATTATTCACGAAAAATTCTGATAACAAACTTAAAATCTGATAAGAATATCTTGAAGACAAGGGAGCGCACCCAGAAAAGAGTGATATTCTACAACTCAATCCACCAGCCCTTCTTCATTCTATACCCAAATCCCAAACAACGAGTCCTGAAATACTTGATAAATAATAGAGATTTTACTGGTCTTTATTTCATTGTTTGTATTTTCTCTTAGGTGAATTCTACAGATAGTATCAACAAAAGAGAATGTACTAACAATAACAGATTGATAGCATGTCCATTAAGTAATTTTGGCTGTACATCTGAGCTATGTTACAACGATTTATTCGAACACTATTCGAGTGAATTCCACAAAGAAAACGTTCTCAAAGCAGTGGAGATCTATGTGAAACAACTGCATATGAAACCATTAGAAGATAATGATCTATGGGACCTACAAAAAAATGATTATGCGGAGTTAATAGATGCACTCAGTACCCTAGGAGATGGAGTCGCATGTTTACATAATGATAATGTAGAGATTCATAAGAATTTCGTACAGCTACTCAGTAATATTATGGAACAGCAAAAACAAATAGAAAAAGTAAAAAAATCTGAGGAAGAAAATTCACAATTAATCTCTGCTGTTGATATGAACAACAACATCTTACAAACTGAACTCGCAACTATAAAACAAATACTATCAGATAATTCTGGTTCATCATCATTTGACGGATCATTTATTTGGAAAATCACCGACGTAACCGGAAAGTTAGCAAATGCTAAGAATGGTCAGCAACAAAGCATCTATTCTTCACCATTCTATTCCTCACCTACGGGCTATAAAATGTGTATGAGACTTTATTTGAATGGTGATGGTAACGCGAAAGGCACTCACATGTCATTGTTTTTTGTTGTTATGCGAGGCGATTATGATGCTATACTAACATGGCCCTTTAACCACAAAGTAACATTTTTTCTGTACGATCAAACGAGTGTTCGTCGTCATATAATCGATTCATTTCGGCCCGATCCTAAATCAAATAGCTTTCTACGGCCCAAATCTAATATGAATATAGCTTCTGGGATATCGAAGTTTCTACCATTATCAATCATTCAATCAGAAGATAATCCTTATGTACGTGATGACTGCATGTTCATTCGGTGTCTGGTTGATTTTGAGTCATTACCAAAAATGGCCCTTCCATTTTTGATTGGCGTCAATCCAGGATTACCTTTGTCTATCCAAAGCAAATTAATTCAATCTGAAATTGAAAAACATCGAATTCCATCATCAACTAGTACTTCTAGAGTGGAGTCACCCATAAAGTTAGAAGATCTAAAAGTAAACAAATAACAGTAATTCTAAATCGAACATGATCGATTTTGACTTAGTATTTTAAACAGCAGAAACTACTTAAGTTGTTCTAGCTGTTTTTCACCAATATGTAAATAGAAATGTATTCTTCATAAGCTTATTTATGGTTTTTATGTTTAAATAACTAAATTAGTTGAGTGTAAGATACTCACTTTATCTAAGGATTCTAGATGTTTACTTGAATGAGACATTTTATTGGATGTTTTGTTTGCTTGGATGTTTTTAAAATATGTATGAATTAAATCTGACGGGAAGCTTATGGTTCTTGGGAATTACTGTTGCAAATCAAATAGCCGCATCGACAAAATGTCGTAGCATATTCTTGATTTCAAAAAACAAATTCTAATCAAGAGATCGATTTTAAGTGTGATTGAAGTTGCTACTCATGCTATGTGTCTATGAATATAGATGTAACATACCAGACAGTGTGATTTAAGCTGAAATGAGGAAGTTGATATCATTATGCAGTATCGCTCCTCTTTTGAATACCTGTATGAGTATTCAAACTCACCGATACTTATCTACACTCATATCCGCCTATCCATGTTTATTCACACCCACATCCTCAAATACTTCTTTTATTAGCTTCTAAAATTTTCTTTTACTTTGTCTTTGGCACTGATCCAACATCAGTCTTATGATTCTATCTGTTGATAACTATGTAAACAAAGTCAAGTAAACAAAGAAGTTATAGCTTGGAACACAATTCGTGATTAAATACGCAATGAGATATGTTTATACAAGAATCATTCTCATATTCTTGCAAGAAATTTAGTTGTGCATTCATGGTAATATTAACCAGCGACACATTGGATTTAGAACATGTTGATTGATAAACTGTGTATCAGCTGCATATTTATTATGGTTTTCTTCTTGAACCACTTTGAGTATTACCATTTTCTTCAGTGTCTAGAACTTTCTCATTAAAGTTCGTAACCTGATCGCTATGAATCAACGAAATACAATCTTTCACTTTTTGTATATTACAGTTAATGGAGTGTCTTCGATCTTTGAGAAAAGCTTTTCTTTTATATCTGGAATAGGATGGATAATAAAGCATGGAAATTGCTTTAACATGATAGACTGCACATGAAATGATCTTATGGTGCAAAGAAAGAATAAAGAACACCAACAACGACAACGACAACAACAGAAGCGTATTATTCGTTCCTTTTATTCTCGTTAAGATGCCGGTTATAGAGTACACAGTCAAAATGTCTTAATCAGTGACTCTTCCAAACCGTCTGTTCTAATTTTCAATAGAAACAAGCTTCCAGTTATTGTTATAGTAATATAAGAAATCTTCATAATGTTCTGAAATTTTCTCATATGTAGGTCATCCTTATCTACTCTGAGAAATCAGTTTTAAAATAGATTGGAAATGACTGATGCAGACGTATCAAATGAATGAACGAAATGTTGCTAATACTTTTCTTTTCAAATTTTCGTTTTCAGTTATGTGACGAAAACAAACAAATAATACTGATCAAAATAAATCAAAACAAACAAAATCTATAAATCAACTAAGAAAAGAAAAACACATTATTTTACAATGAATAAATTTCTAGTGCATGTTGTCTACCAATCAGTAACCACCTTTGATCATCAGTCATTCGAAGTGAACGTATAAAATTATCTTGATTTGAAAAAAGTTTCAATCGAGCTATTTGTCCATCGGATGCTATTAAACAATGACCAATATTCACATAGGGTACGCATGTTTTAGCAAACCATAATCCCTGAAAATGTAGATTAATTGGATATAAAATATTTTCATTTAAATCTAATTTTATTCTATGAATAATTTTATCAGTATTTAAATTGATTAAATCTATCATTTGTTTTTCACCAATTGAAATTGCAAGAGCCAAAATCTTTTTTGAATTTAATTGTATGGTAGTTATACATATATCTTTATATTCTTCATATACACGCGATGATTGTAGAAGATTTAAATTTGAAAGACAATAACGACGTAGATCATGGCCAAATGAATGATTTATAAGTAAATCATCACCATTCACTGTCATATATGATTTACGATGACCCTCATTAATAAACTAAATAGGGAAAAAAAATCACATATACATATTTTTCTCGAACTATCAAACCTGTATTTGATGAATAGATATTAATTCAAATTGATCAAAATTTGTTTTATACAATTGATCAGTTGTAAGAATAAGAAAATATTTTAATTTTGATGACCAAACAATTTCTTGAATATTCATTGTATCAATAAGTACAATAGTTTTATCAATATTCATTGTATTTAAATTAATAAAATAAAGTTGTTTACCATTTAGTAAAAGTATATGTGTTAATGAAATATCGAATAAAAGGCAAGCCGAATCGAATTCAAATCTTTTTAGTAAATTTTTACCACGACCATCAAATATTTGTTCAAGATTTAATGATGAACATGCTTTAGTGAATTTTTCATGATTATGTTTTTTTCGTTGTTCAATAAATATTGTATTTTTTAATGATATTCGTCCTTCATTTTTATTTATTAATTTTGTTGAATTTGATGCCGATGATGAATTTCCACAGCCCATGTTTGTTTACTTCTGAATAAAAACGTCTATCATATATATATATATATATTATGATCGTTTAATTGAATAGAAAAATAGAATTCAAACATAGTCATCGAATATATAATAGATAAAATAAGTAATGCATGTCTATTTTCTTATATGTATATAAACGTGAACCCTAGACATGCCGCCTATGAATCATATCAACCGTGTATATATTGTCTCTGTCGTCGTTTGTTATTTAAACTTGCATCTAATTTATTTTCCTGAATTGTAACGATGATTTTTGAAGTGAATACTTCTTACTTCTTAAATTTGTTAAATAATACGAAAAATTGATCATTATAATTTGTAAAAAAAATATTAATTTATTAAACAAACATAAAATTTAATTTTACTAGAAGACAAATTAAGTGCAAGATATAATCATCTAATAAATTTTTATTTTCAGTTATTTATAGACAATCATCAATAATTGAAAAATATTTCCTGAGGAAATAATAGTTTTTCTATAAATATATTTATTGAAATCGATTAATAACTAATCATCATATTTTACTTTTTTAAAATTAATAACAAATGCCGCTATAAAATCGCAAACAATCGATCCTGTACCAAATATGCCAAGAAATGATCCAATACTTGTTGTTGTTTGAAATAAATCAAATCTTCCTGCCTCACCACTAACCGAAATTATAATATGTAAATTATATATATGTGTATGCATCCGATATACTTCACGACTATTAGGCTGAAAAAAATAATGTGATGTAAGAAAGTTTGAACCGGAATCATACGGATTTTTGCTGTACGGTACAATATCTAAACGTTGAAATTCATATGTAGGTTCACAATATTTCAAATTTCTATCAAGATTACATTTCCAAGCAATTCGTATTTCAATTAATGATCCATGAAAAAATATTGATTTATATTCACTTGAGTTTTTTTCAATGATTTGTAAAATTTTCAAAATTCTAAATTTTGGACAAAATGGATGTTCATATGGATCATATTCACATGTTCGCAAATAATCTGAGGTTAGTAAATTGGGCAACAGATTATGTCTAACAACTCCTAATTGTGCAAATTCTACAAAATGTTTTATAAATATAACATAATCAAGTGCTTGATAGTTTAATCGTTCAAATCTTGGCAGTGCTTCAAACCAGCACAGTGTCTGTTTGTTCAACATAGTTCCATTTTGAGAACGATAAAACGGTGGTAAAATACAACGTGCTTGATGATCACATTGATGTATGGATGCGTTGTATAACGTTTGATTTTTCTTAACGTTTTTCGTATTACAAGGTTGTAATATGTGTTTGATTTCTATCATTCGTGTTGTTATTGATACTGCTCCGTTCTCTGTTGCTGGCTTAACAAAATCATTGACATCATATAACGAGTTTGAACAATTGTATTGTAGTGCATAACGTATTATACTATCATTATTTGAACAGATGTTTGATTGTTTTACTTTGATGGTTACGGCTGATATTGGTGATCGATCAAATATTTGATAAGAATCTCTTTGAAACATTAAATAAAGACAACTAATTGCAATAGTTAATTTGACAATTAATGATAAAAGACCTATCCATTTATATTCAAAACGAACAACTTTTTCAGCTAAAAAAGAAAAGGTAAGTTCATTTTAAAAGGTTACTACACAAATTAAAAAAAACTCGTCCGATTACTTCGAAGCTTAAGCATGATTTCCTAGCTATGATACCATATAAGGCTTTCGAGAGATATACACAGATACAAGCAAATGATTTGGTAAAAGATCATTGAAAGATGTTATCTATTCTTTCGCATACTTTTGATGATATCCATGTGTTTCCACAAGAATAGCAAAAAGAATTTCCATTTATATCACTAAAATATCGCCTATATAAACTACTGCTTCGATTAAGTATGTATAGAAGAGTAAATTGTAAAAATGAATGAACAGTACGATTTTTATGTAATTATAATTCAGAATAGAACAAATTTATGATTATATTAGTCACATATCTTATAAGGAAGATTTTATATCGAAACTTTGATTTTTGATGTCGTATTATTTTCTGTTTATATCCGGCGGCTTTGTCTCATATGTCTGGCTCAGATCTAATGAAAGATTTCTTAAGTTAATTTTATAGCGTTAGTACTATCTGCGAAATGATGATATTATAAACCTAATAATAAAGATAGTGAATAAGGATAAAATGCCTCACACTACATTAAGTATGAATGCATATTTGTTTGTGCTTATTTTTTCCTGTTTATGTAATATGTTGTATTATTTGCTTGGAAGTCTACCCTAGGAGAGCTTAGTTTAACCAATAGGAATGTTTTTTTTTAAGAATAATGCGTTGGTTCACTTCAAGTACAGGAGTGATATGATTTTCACTCATATAATCAATAGAGAAAATCGCAGAAACAACAAGACGTGTCACCAGGACAAGACTTTATTAAATTTGACGAACAATAAATATTCAAAATATATAACCACCAGTTTTAAGTCATCGTTAAATGACATTTTTATTCAGAACAACGATCAGAATAGATTTCTTCAGTTTCGAAAAGTCAAATAATCTAGATTTCGTTGAACAAGGTTTCCAATCTCCACTGAATCTGATACTCTGTTAATCAAAGTTATTTAAAAAAAAACTGACATGTATCGAATGTATTCGAGTTATGGTATAAAAAAAACAGTCACTCAAATTGAGATCAACATTTAAAGCGACTCGAATTTTAATTTAGCGAGTCATAAAATAGTATTATAATAATTCTACGATCAAGTAAAGTAATTATTTATTAACCAATGCTATTATTTTATTATGAGGAATTCTATTTGGTGAGTTTCGTGTTGATGTAATTTAGCTTCACATACGAAAGTAACCATAAGAATTGGAAGAAAGAAAAAAAAAGAGATTTCAAATGAGATTTCATGTTAACATGCTTCTTCTACATAACAGATATACAAATGAAATTAACGAAGCTGACAACTTAAAAGATTAATTACTCTGACTTTTGAAATCAAGTCAAAACCAATTTCGAATTTCATTCCTAGTGAATGAGCTATTAATGTAAGATGAACTTTTCTGAATCATTATTCTTTATAGCTCAGATTATTCTTCATATTAAATCATAGAAGTCGTTTATAATGCCGACAGCTGATAAGATCGCACTAATAGATCGCATAAAGGCGTTATGTGTAAAAGTATGCCTATAACCTTTTATTTACCATCAAACTGTCAATGCCTTTTTTCCTAATATAGATTTCTTTCACATTGAATATATTAAGCATAATTCAGTTACTTATCTTAAGCCTAGTATTTCAGTTTAACAGCTAGCATTCATGCAATTTTCTTTTCTTTTTATCATTCGATAACTTACTTTCATAACAGGTAACATTGCTTAACATAAATTTGAAAAAAGTAAAATTTTCTTGTGGTTTTAATGGTAGATTAGGTTTTACCATTAATACTCCATCTCGACGATTTTGCATGTTAAATAATGTTTGTAATATTTTTTTATTTCATTAATATTATTGCTCAATATTTTAGTCCATTTTTCATAAGAAAACGTAATAATTTAGTATCAAATAAGATACAAATATGGTTTTACTTAGCCCCGACTTTGTAAAGCCTTTGGCGTTCTATCGATGGTTTATAATGTCGAATAGTATTACTATTTCTTGTTCATACATATACATTAATGGCAGTCTAATTTGCTGGAAAACAGCAGGAAAATAATTGATCACGCGTCAACATTAATTACATATATAGAAACATGTCAGAACGGTTGACATGTTGCCTTCGTCTTTTGTGCTTCTCGCTGGTTGTATCGAACGTGAAAAACTGAAATGATGAAAATAGTGTCGTTAGAAGAAAACCGCCGAGCTGATATTGATATTCATTCAGAATAATAATCGATCTCATCGAAGACGAGGACATTTGGGAGACAATGTAGAAAAAACGTGCATTGAATATATATGATGATTGGTAAATCGTAGTAATACCCGCAAGAAAACATATTTTCCAGTGGGAGAGAATTTGATATCAACACAGAAATCAAGTAGCATGTTTTATCGATTAAATCTCTAGAAAATGAACGAAATTAGTATGGCGCATGTACTTTTATTGAATAAAACCTGAATGGATGTATCACAATCATTCCAATGAGAGGAAAAAAACACCCAATTATTATGAAACCGAAAGGATGCGTTGGATAAACAGAAATAAGCTAGGTGAAGTAATTATTTCCCAGACTAGAGCACAAACAAGACATTTGATCTATTTAGATGGCTTAAAAAGGAAATGGCATTGGTGGATGTTTCATCAGTCATGTCAACACAGTTAAATGTTTTTCCAGAACCAAAAAAACAAATATCATTTCGTTGGTGGATTGTTTTTTTCTATTGTTATTGTTTCGATGACAACTACAACAACTGATCCAATTCTTCGATTTGATCTCATGATTCGACGTTATCAAATAGAATATGGTCTTGTTAGCAAAAGTTCGCCAGCAAGTAAAACAGGTTGTAATGAAGAAAATTTTCAAAATGATTCTCAAATTGCTCAATTATCTATTGAAGTACAAATATCAGTGAGTCGTTTAAATATAATTATGGCTGGCACTGGAGCGTTACCAGCTGTTTTAGCATTTATCATTCTTGGTACAAATTGTGATCGTATAGGGCGTATACCTCTTTTGATTCTTCCATGTACTGTCGGACGATTAATACGTCTGACTATTATTCTATTAATTGTAGAATTAAATCTTAGTGACATTTGGTTTATTATAACGAATATAGTTGATGGCTTATTTGGTTCAAATAGTGTATTACCCAGTGAAAAATAATGATAGAAAAAAACGGAAAGGAGCGCATTCATCAAAATAGGAAAGCTATATTTTTCATGAAGAACGCGTTCCATCAGTTGACGAATGCATTCATTACTAAAAAGAACTCGTTCAACATATAAGTGAATGCATTCTTCAACATTCAATACAGGGGCGGTGGAGCGCCATTAAGCTAGGTGAGGCTCATAATATTTTTTTTCTACTGTGGAATTTTATGAAAGCATCCAGTAGAAAATAAGTCTTCTTTTTATTGAAATTCAGTAAAAATAAAAATGGCCATTATAAAAACGAAGATTGGAACTTACCAAAATATACTTTTTTTGCATCTACTTTGATGAAAGAATAAAAATAGCAATAATCAGTGCAAAAGCAAGTGAGGCTGACACTCATCTTGCGAAATCTAGGTGAAGCTCAAGCCTCATGGGTATCAGTGACTCCGCCGCCACTAGCTTCATACTGTTATGGAATGTTTTCTTTCTAGTTCAAAATTTTTTCTTTATCCAAATAGAAAGCCTTCTAACCCGTTCCATTCGCTATCAGAATGGTTTTCTTTTCATTCTATTTGGGAAAGGTCATGATTGAGTTCCATCTTGAGGAGAACGCATTTTCTCATTTTCTGTAACGAAATGCCTAAGAATGGACTCTTGGAAGTAATGAATGCTTTCCAAATCATTAAACATCATTCTTGGAAAGAAAAGAAAGCATTCTCTACCATTCTACATTTTCAAATGTACATACGTGTATATATATATATATATATATATTCATTTGATAAATATAAATACTAAAAGGACGGGGGAAGTTAACAGCCGAAATCGGCCCCAGTCCAAACACAAATTTTTTGGTTTTCATTATGGTAGTTTTGACGCTACATCAACATTTTAAGCCACATTTAATCATTATTTCAAATCTAGACATCATCTGCATTACTTTTTCTATTGCACTAAAATCCACTGTGTTTCCTTTGGGTGGGGAGCCAATCATTTTAATGAAATATTTCAATTATCATAGTTTATACTTATCTTAATTTACCCGCCGGATTGTAGCCCTTTTCACGCTCTCTTTCTCTCTTTCTCTGATGGGGTGTCAACATACGAGAAAAGCTACTGAATTCTATTTGACACCGTGGGCATATCATACAAAAGATCTAGTAAAGGTGCATACCGATAATGATATTTTTCGCGAAAGATTTTACGTTAGGCAACAATGTCGGTCCACTCTTATTTATATATCATTCGATAGAGAATTTTGAGATCTATCAAATAATGATAAAAAACATATGAAAAGTGTGCAGAAAGACGATTTCGCTTTTTTTGATTGTGAATTTTGGTCGGCGTTTCTTTGTCGTTGGATCAATATTCTAATTTGTATTTACCTATATTGTTGTTAGTAGCATGGATGAATAAATGGAATTATCTTATTATGCAGTATACGTCTTTTTTTCAATTGAAAGAAATTTGTTGAGAACATTACTTTATTACGAAATCCATGTGCTATTGGCTGTATAGTGTTTCGCTCTACTAGTTGAGTCATACATCGTAGAAAGAAAAAAATCATGGTGCGTTTCATTATATAATAATGTGTAATGATCCGGTTATATATAAACTAATCGAGAATTAAGGCAGACATTTCATCTAAGGTCACTGTCTTTGTGTGTATCACTATTGTGAACGTTTAATACACAAACGATTACAATGAATGAACGTTGTTATTCGTGTGGCGCTCGTCTCAACCGTAGGCCTTGTGTCCGACTACTGAAGTCACCATGCCTCAGAATGTTTATGTCAATTCGTACTCTTAAATCATTTTCTAACGATCAAAAGGTGTGCAATGTTTGCCGACATTTATACATAAAGTGGGAAAATGAAAATTCAGAACTCTCTTCAATCATTGATCATTTCGAAACTGATATACCCAGGTCGTGGACGTACGGCGGGAAACGGCCGGAAAGCACAGGAAAGCGCTGGAAAGTGGAAGCAGTATTCCAGCTGGAAGTTACCGGATTTTCTTCCTGTAGATTCCGATCGACTTCCAGATGTAAAACCCAGAAAACTGACCGGAAAACACAGGAAACTGACCGGAATCCACAGGAAAAAAATCCGGTAACTTCCAACTGGAATACTGCTTCCAGTTTCCAGTGCTTTCCCGTGCCGTCCGGCCAGATNCTTCCAGATGTAAAACACAGAAAACTGACCGGAAAACACAGGAAACTGACCGGAATCCACAGGAAAAAAATCCGGTAACTTCCAACTGGAATACTGCTTCCAGTTTCCAGTGCTTTCCCGTGCCGTCCGGCCAGATACGGTGATTTTTCCGCATCTTTCCGGCCGGTTCCTACAGTATCCGTCCTCCGGAATCATTGACCTGGGATAGTAATGATCGATGATGATTCGAATAGTGATTCGGTAATTTGTTTTTATACGATTGTTTTTGTGTTGACGTTTTGTTTTCACGTATGAGTTTATGAACGTTCAGGTTCAAACTGGCGATTCGCCTCGTTTAACAACCGTGGAAAATCCAACTTTGATTACAACTACAAACCATCAAGTAGTTAAGTTACAGCTAAATGCGACTTCCTCTTCCCATACGTAAGAAAAAAAAATAATGAAGAAAACAGATGTGTAATGTATTGTCACTAGGAAATACTGTGTTTGTCGTGAAAATCTTCGTGATCATGCGATGAAAATTACATCTGAGGATAGAGATTTTATATTTTTTTCGCGCAATATTTGGATACCAGAAGGGGCACGATGTTGCTGAGGTCATTTAATTAACCATCTATTATTGAAAGAAGCTGTTGATCAGATTAAACCTTTCTCAATACGATATAGAGAATTAAGCTCATCAAATATTCAACTTCTTTTAATAAAAGCTCAGAACTTATTTGAAAATGGCAAGAAAAGATTTAGTTTCGATGACCCAAGCGATCTTAATGATGATGAATATCGTTTATTAACTAGTCTCTCAAGAGACAACTTTAATGAGTTTGTCCAAATCACTTCTTCATCTACTATTCGCCCCTCGTGCAATCGATCGATAAGAACTGCGATCGGCATTTATTTATGTAAACTTCGTCTTGGTATTTCAAATAGACTATTAGCTTGCATGTTTCAAATAGCAGACAAACGGACAGTGTCTCGAATTATAAATAGTGCGTGTCAAGCTATTGTAAAGAGTTTTGTACCAGATAATTTAGGTTTTTGACATATTATTCGTCAAGATGTTATTGATCGCCATACCACAGCAATAGCTCGAGAACTAATGTGTGGTGGTGATAGTACTGATGCAGCAATAATTATTTTTCATGAAACGTATCTTTATATTCAGGTGAAATAATTGCTTTCTGCAATGAATTTATTTTATGTTACATTTTATAAATCTGAAAATAATGAATTTCAAAGAAAGATTTTAAACTTATATAAGAAAAGATCCTTATTAAAGTCAATGATGATTGTAACAACTACAGATTATGTCGTGGCTTGTATCGTACCTTTTATGTCTGATTTTAACAACAGCGATGCTGCGATAATGAAAGATATTTTACTTCGCAATACCGATAACATTCTAAGTTGGTTAAAAGAAGTAATAACTATTTTTCTAATGAAAACCTTAATATAATTTTCTTCTTTAGTATGACATACTGGTGGCTGATAGAGGTTTTAGGGACTCTATCGGTGTTATGAAAGTTTTTGGGTTGGAGGCTACTATACCATCATTTCTCGATGACAGACGTCAATGTTCAGCCGAAGAAGCTAATGAATCAAGATGCATCAGAAAAATACGCTGGGTCGTGGAAGCCGCTAACCATTGTCTCAAACAATTTAAGTACTTTGCGAATACCCTTCAAAACTCGTCCCTAGTGTACTTAGAATCTGATATGTCAATTGCTTGCGCTCTCATCAATCATTATCAACCACCTATGACAAGATCTAAACTGGAAGATGAAGAAATAGATGTACAAATAATGCAATTACGCCAACAAAAAAATAAAATTCAACTCGTAACTATTTTTAACATTACTTTTTCTGCAATTTGTATCATATCCTTATTTATAGCTCTTAGAAGAAAATAATCTAATCAGGCTGTTTTCTCTATGGGAAATAATTAATCTTACAGAAATCATAGATGGTTTTCCTATTATGACACAAGACGGTCTAGAAGATCTCACTTTCGGTAACAAATCTTCATTTAATTTCTACCAACTATCTATTTTTATAGGTGTCCTTCAATTGAAACGAACACGTTCTTATGTTGAAGAGCGCTGCTCAACTACCAATCTAACCAGTGACGTAGCTTACAGTGTACACCCATGTAAAATGATTCCCAATTTGATCTGTATTCCTATTCAATCCGCACATAGATATCGAATTACTTATCATCCAACATTTTACTGATCAAGCAATTCTAGGCTGGTGGTGCGATTGCTTCACTGGTGCACGATTTCTCGGCAGTTGCAGTCATATAGCTTCAGCTATTTGATTTCTTTCCCACCAACGATGGCAAACACAACAGCGTCATATACCATCGACCGAATACAAGAACTTAGCCACAGAGTCGATACAAATCTCAGATTTCTATGATTTGTCCGATGATGCTGATTCACAATGATACTCGTTAACATAAACATTTCAACACTCACTCTTTATAAACATACGTAAAACAAAACTGTTTTCAAAAGAATAAACTGAACTTCAAGGGCTCTGACCTAATCCTAGTTTATACTTCAAAATTAGACAAAAATTTCACCCTCCGTTTTTCTTATAGATACTAGCTGCGAGGAATCCCTAAACTTCGGATCAACACAATACTGTATCCCCTTACTTATACTTCTCTGTGAGGCATTCATCATCATCTTTTAGATCTCGAAAGTCTCTATCGAATGATATATAAATAAGAGTGGACCGACATTGTTGCCTAACGTAAAATCTTTCGCGAAAAATATCATTATCGGTATGCACCTTTACTAGATCTTTTGTATGATATGCCCACGGTGTCAAATAGAATTCAGTAGCTTTTCTCGTATGTTGACACCCCATCAGAGAAAGAGAGAAAGAGAGCGTGAAAAGGGCTACAATCCGGCGGGTAAATTAAGATAAGTATAAACTATGATAATTGAAATATTTCATTAAAATGATTGGCTCCCCACCCAAAGGAAACACAGTGGATTTTAGTGCAATAGAAAAAGTAATGCAGATGATGTCTAGATTTGAAATAATGATTAAATGTGGCTTAAAATGTTGATGTAGCGTCAAAACTACCATAATGAAAACGAAAAAGTTGTGTTTGGACAGGGGCCGATTTCGGCTGCTAACGTCCCCCGTCCATTATGATTTCTTACCCTATCCCATATTGATTCTCGAAAACCATGTGTTCCGCCCTCCCCCTCCCCGCTGTTCACTTTTGCTTCGCTTGGAAGCGCTGTTTTCTTCATAGAGTAACATCGATTTTTCACATATTTTCCAGTCTCTCACTTTTCGAAGACGCCTTTAATAAACAAATGAGTAGGGCGCAGATTATTATCATTATTAATTCTTTTTCTTCATTTTTAATTTATCTTCTACTCTTTTAACATCATCCTTTATATTTACTACGTTAGGATAATTAAACGGCAATGCTACTTCATAGATTGTCTGAGCCTTCTTCATATATATCAATGCCTGTTCTAATTCATCCCTGTATTCATACACAGGACCCATGTTTCTGTAGGCCATTGCAATATCGGAATGTTGACCAGGAAGTGACTTCAATCTGATTTTAAGTGATCGATTGTAATGATTCAATGCGAGACCATAATGACCGAGACAATGATGAACAATGCCAATATTGTTGTACGATCCACCCATATCAGGATGATCCGCTGGTAGATGCTTCTCGTGAATATCAAGTGACTTCTCATTGAAGTCGAGCGCTTCAAAATACTTATTCTCTTCTTGATAGATGTTGCCAATGTTATTGTAAAAAGGGGGGGGGGCACATATGGGCGATGCTCATCGTGTGCTTGTCTGAAGAGTAACATGGCTCGATTGTAGCATTCGAGTGCTCGACAACGATCACCTTTATTTCGATGAACTGCAATGATGCTATTGTGTGTGTTACCAATATTGACATGATATGATCGATGAGTTCGCATCTTCGTCTCGAGTGATTTCTGGTACCATTTGAGACTCGTATCATACTCACCTTTGTCGTCAGCAACCACACCAAGACGTTGATGCAACACACAAAGAGAGGGATCATTCGATGGAAGTTTGCTCAACCATCGACGATAGTACTTTTCGACGAGATCGAATTTTCCCATGTTTCTTACCACATCACCAAGAGAGAGAGAGAGAGAGAAGATTCATTTCCGCTCTGTCGTATACGTTCTTTATGTGATCATACAGTTGTTTGAGATCGTTGCCATGATCACTACATAATGTCATTCGAGTGATCGACATTGTTGCATTATATGATGATAGATCTCGTTCAACCGAAAAATTGAACCGAGCATAAAGAGTACTTTGAACTTATGTTTCAGGCAGCTCATTTTCACATATTGGCTACAAGTTTGATCAGGTACGATCATATTGAGAATACTCATCATTGCTATGAGGTAAATACGTGACTTTCACAGTAGTAAATACTAAATGAGAGAAGAACCTAGCATTTTAGGCTACTATTTGTTCATATTAGTCAAAATTTCTCTACAGTTTATGCAGGATTCGTCATCTTTCGTCTTGAAAATACCGGGATACTCATAAAAATATATTTAATAGTACGATTCGTAGAACAATGACTAGCTTTAACTTTAGAAAACAAGAAACATACTCGAATTTGACTTGAAATAATAGTAATCAAGTCAAAAAATAAGTTTATCTACTAATTTTCAAAATTTAACCAATATGAATTTTAAATTAAAAATGTGACACTCCTACTTGAGAGTCAAATCTTCAAGGTATAAAGCGACACAAAAAATATATTCTATTAGCGTATTATTTGCATTGTGCTGAGAATCGTTTATTCGAAGATCAAATGCATTGTAATATTAAGCAATAAAGAGTAGAAATAATTATGCATTTATTTTTGTTAAGGAAAATTTCGAATTCAAATACAGTAAAACATTTTTAATTTTAATAAATCTTATTTTACATTTATAAAAGGATGTAAAAAGTCGTAAGTCATGTATATTTATTTTAGAATAATGGGATACGACTTGATTGTTGTCTGACTCGTTAATAAATGCTAATGATTCTAATAAACTATTAGGATTTTTTGTAAATGATTAAACTCTAATAAGACTTCGGACCATAGTGATACAACAAAACACCATTCTTTGCTTGTTTTAACGTATGGATTAAAGTGTTTTTGTGCATTCTCAACTTCTTTAAATTTGAAAATATAATGAATCTGCAGATTTTGTAAGTACAGGAATTCTACAACATATAATTTCTAAAGTATTGATTTGTCCTTGAGTAAAAACCTGCACCATTATACATACCATCCAGTTTAAAAAGAACGTAAAAATTGTCAAAGAGCACGACAAGGATAATAGCGAACTGATTTCCATCATTATATTTTTTCCATATTTCTTTGACGTCGCTTTTTGGAAAAACGACCGTGTCATAATTCATTGTTAAAGATGCTAAATGACAATGTGTCATGTAACATTGTATTTTTTATATGTACTGTTGTTTTTATTTATCAGCCGAAAAAAAGTGAAAATATATGACGCATATAAATTTGTTTTTATATTGAATAAGCTTTTCGATTAGAGGAAAAGAGGAATTATTTAGTTATTTAATAAAGAAAATTTTCAAGAATGTAATATAATAATATAATCTAGTTGATAAGCTATTAGTTGTCATGCATACAAATGATAGCATGCAACAAGAATCATTTATTATCAGAAACGTCATTTGGCAATATAATTTACTTCGTCAATGCAGATGTTTAGTTATGATGGAGCTGATTATTTGACATCGACAAAATATTGACCGATTATTTTTATTAGGCTTACTCAACATAATATCAGTAGCTTTTCTATATTATAACTATAAAAGATTATCAAGATTAAATATAGTTTTCACCTGATATTCCTTCATCTATCTAGCTTTTAAAATTAATAAAAAATGTACATAAACTTTAAAATTTCATAATCAACTAAACAATAGATATGTTCATAATTCGATTGATAAATGACTCGAAACAATATCATGTAAACACTGAGTAGTCGGTATGTGTTATAGATTGGTAGAATTTATGAATATCTCTACTATTTTAACTTCGATAGTCCATCAATGAGCAGTATTTTATTATTATTCAACAAAAAATATCGTTCTATGCTTGAATCTTTTAATTAACTAAAGATTTTTCTTGTGTTACAATCTAAATTCATTTTACTTCGTGTGCTTATTTTTTTGTTATTGTTATATTTTAATGATTTTTTATGGCATTCATTTCTTAAACAAACACGAAAACCTCAAGGGAAATAATCATAAAGCTATATATAAATTTCTTATTAAGTCAACAAGCTCAAATCCATGTTCATTTAAGATAAAATAACTATTAGAATGTTTTTCATGTTTAGCGAAAAAGTACCGTTCACTACGCCAGACTGTTTATTATTATGCTGTCTTCTCACGCCAGCTTGTTTCCTTTTTCGTATTGAAGATATTTTAATCTTGTAAAAGCAGTATTATTCGTTTTGTCGATCACAATCTATTCAGCAGAGAACTGAAATCTATATCAAGTAGTTTACATAATGATTCTATTTTAGACTTTATTTAATTAATGTAGTTAACATATTTCAAATAATATATGACTTTTAATGTCACTATGACTTTTGTTCAAACCCCGAAGTTTATTACTATCATAGTGCGCTTACGATTCAAACAGCGACATAATTGTAACAGATTATTTTGAAAAATAAAATGGTTATTTTAGAAAAATACGCGTGTTTTTCTTTCAATGATTCACTATAACGGTGAAGAGGTACTCTATTAAGAAAAAATTGTTCTTCTTACTTCACACCTTTGGCTAGTAGACAGCAATTACAAGGGTATTTTTTTGCACTGATAAGCTTATATGCATACATGCTATAACTAACTACTCCATGATTTCATTTTTGACATTTTTATTTCGTCATCTACAGAACATTACAATAGAAATTTGTGTTCTGTTTAATAATACAGCAGGAAACTGCTTTTTATGTGAAAGTAAACTTTATTATGTGTGACTTTTTTAAAATTAAAACAAACTGAGCACTATGCTCCACGTACAATACGCACGTTTTCTTTTTTTTTTCTCTCTCTCTCTCTGTATATATATATATATATGATCACAAACAAACAAACAAACAAAAATAGGAAAAGAAAACCAGACAAGATTGAGTTTTTAAGACAAACAAAACAAAATAACACCGAGTTGGTGTCGAACCGGGTTTTTATAAAGTCCAGATAATACAGTATTTATCTCGGAAAAAAATGAGAAATGAATAATTGCCCTATTCGAAAATTTCATCTGAGTATTTTGAGATGAATATGCCAGTTTGAGCAAAACGAAAAACAAAAATTATATTTATCTATAAGAGTGATATCGAATTGAGCAGTTAAATATCTTCAATACGAAGAAATGTCTTTTTTTTCTTGTTAAAAAAGATGCTCAGCTGTTGTACATTTGTTTGGTATTTGTTTATAAAATGGAAGTACTGGTGTCGTCGGTGAATTTTTTTCAGATAAATTATTTTTATCAATATTTATGGGTAACATATTTGAGTATTGATCTGAATACATCGATGAATCGTCGATCTCAAATGATGTTGACGATATATTATTACTTATTAAGGAATTTTGAGTACAATTTTCTGTATTCGATGAAAGATTATTTACATTCATGTTAAATGATATATCCATTGTATCTTGTGCATCAAGCATTTCCAATAAAAGATCAGCTTGAGGCAGTAAATCATTAGTGCGCATATGTAAAAATAGTTTGATTAATTTTGAGCTTAACATTTTAATATGTGGTATTTGTAGTAACAGTGTCGTATGACGAATATAATTATCATGATAGACACTCAGATTTGAATCGCATGTATATTGTAATGCCTGATAGATTTGATTTGTTAATAAACGAAAAGCCTTAGTTGACGTTATATTTGCTGGAATTGAATTAATAAGCATTGTTGCTTTAAGAGAAATGAATTCTTCATGGATTGTATGTGGATCCTTAAATACGTGAAGAATATTAAATAAATTTGTACATATTGAACTTAGAACAGGGCTTGATAGATCATGATTTCTAAACGAAAGAAATTGAGTTATTTAAAATTTTCTATTCTTTTGTTTTTCTTACCTTGATATCCTAAAATCAGGAGCAAAATGTAGTGAATCATCATTGTGCTCTAATGATCGTTCGATTATATCGAGAATTAACGTGTCCAACCAACTTTGTTCAATTATTGTTACTTGTTGATCAAGTGTTAAACTTTCTGTATAACCTAATGGAAAATAAAAAAAGATTTCTTTATAGAAAGTAAAATTCTCTAGAGAGAAAAAATATATGTGTATAATACCTGGCATAGATTTTGCCCAATTGATAAGAACAACTAATTCTTGATCGAAAACTTTTGCAAGCAACTGAAGAAAATATTGATCATCTAATGGACGACTATTATCAACTTTAGCCAATAGATTAAGACGAGATACTTGTGAAAGAATTGAAAGAAACTCAGCAGTTGGTATTGGGATCCGTGTGAGATCTGCTGCTGTCTGAATGAATAAAAGAAACAAGTCAGTTTTGTTCTTACGAAAGAAGCAAACTGGAAATTATATGTTTTACCTTGTTAATTTGTGACTGTGATGACGTTAAAACATTACTATTTTGAATGGGCTGAGACCCTGAAGTCGTTTCTGTTGTTGGTCGTGTATTATTTGTTGAAACTGAAAATCCATAATCTTGATTATTAGCATTCCCATTATTTGCTGCTGCACTTGACGTTGACGTTATTTTGCAAACTGATACAGCTTTTCTACGATATTTTCCTTCGCGTCTTGTTGTGCCCTTTGTCATACCGACTTCGTAGCATCGTCTTAAACGACATGCTTGACAACTTTTGCGACGATGCTTATCAATAGTACATGTATTTGTTGCTGGACATATATATTCATTAGTACCTTGAATGCTTCGTTTAAAAAATGCTTTGCATCCTATGAATGATATTATGTACAGATGTCCGAACAGAAAGTACATTTTAGAATCTTTACCTTCGCAACTCCAAACGCCATAGTGATACCCAGAAGCAACATCACTGCATACCGCCTAAAGAACACGACAAAAGAGCGCGAATGTAGATTTTCATGTAAAAGAGATTATAATTATACATACGCATCGGCGTCGATCTTCGGGCGATTTTGGACCTAAAAATAAATAATACAATTTAAGAATTGAATACTATCCATTTTTGTTTTTCAATGGAAAACTATGATAAGTGTTTCTATTCACTAAAACTATCGTCTTACAGCGGGGGGAAATCAACACTAGATATGATATACATACAGAAAATACAAAGTATTTTTGTATTATCTTTCAAACCGATAAATAATTCGAATGCCATTAATTTATATGGATAAAATTCCAAAACTTGCATATTTGCTTTCTTTTTCATACGAACCTCCTCCTGTTCGAACTGATATTGACGGTGATACTAACGAAGATGTTGAAGAACTTTCTGTATTATTATTCGATGTTGATAATTTTTCATTTTCACATGATACTGTTGACGATCGATGAAGATGATTATTATGAAAATCGTTTGAAAAAGAGTTATAAGAAACTGGACTGAATGGCTGTTGTTTCATAGTTGTAGACATATTCGACGATGATGTTTTTAGCGTGTCTTATTACTGAGCATTTATTCTGTTTTTGTTTTGTTTAAATTTTAATAAATAAAAATAATTCGATATAATCTACGGTTATAGTAATATAGAGCCTTTATAGTTATCTAGATAGATGTGTATTTGTAGAGAACTATCCTGATAGAAAAGCAGGAAAAAGAAGATGCGAAAGAGATAAAAAGGAAAAAGACAAAGGCACAAAACAACAGTATAGCATTACTACTAGTCGCTGATGACGATTACTGTGCTTTCTTTGTACTCGGCAGCATTCTCTCATTGCTTTTGCACTTACATAAAAGGCTTACTATTAATAATAACTGCGCTTCTTTTCGCTCGACGGCTTTCTTTTACAAGTAATAAACAAATCTAAAATGTTAAAAAGACTTGTTCGCTCAAACTGAGAAAACTATTCTGCTTTCCCCGCATATGTTTGCATGTAAATGATTAAACAATCTCAACTGAAGTTGTTTAAACAAGTGAATATGCGCATTCTTCTTCTTTTTTTCTTTCCTAGACGCTCAATAGTTTGTAAGGTAAATCTTTGTATATATTTCTGAAAAATGTATTGAATCCACGTTGTATCAAAGGAAAAGAAATAGAGATAATAACTCGAAAAAGAAACGAGACGATATTACGCTCAACAAGAATACAAACCAAAAAGGCGAAACAAAAAAAAGCAAACTGCATGAGCGTGCACGCGCGTAGCATAGATTCTCTTATGAATTACGACGAAGGACGGTGACGGCAACGATAAAAAGAAATACGAAGGAAGCAGAAAAGAAGAAAAGAAAAAGAAATGTGTCTGTTTGGCAACTTATTTTCTGGTTTTTCTTACTGACTTGTACTCGTTAAAGTCTACGTATCAGCGTATGAGCCAAGTCATCATGTTCTCTGCTCTTTATGTTGTCTGCCGACGTATTGAAGACCAGAAGGATGGCACGGGACGGAAACGATGCAAAGAAACGTGCAGGAAACGAGAGAAATACCGAAAAACAACAGAAGAGAAAACCGTATTACAAATAATTATTATTAGCTCCTTTAATCTGAATAAACATTGAAGAAAAACATGTTTACTTACATTTTGTCAATGTAGTTCTTTGCTGTTTGTTACGCGTAATCTTTGAGTTTTCAAGAGATGAAACTCGAACTGAAAGATGATGCGCATTAGAATCCATCTCATGCGATAAAACCATATCAGAATTCATTTTTGTATAATTATTATTATCGATTGGTGTAGATTGCATATCAGTAAGATCGTAAAATAGTGCTTCATTTTTGAAAGTTCTTCCCATTGGCTCATTAAAGCATTCGAGCCATGATGACTTCTTTGATGTGTTCTCCATCGCAGACGAATTTCTTTTTCTGATATAAACAAATTATAATAAATTTATTTATTTGTATAATCGATTACTAGCTATGTAAATATATGATAAGCTTGCAATCGAATCAGATCTATTCTACGGAAAAAAAGTATGTAAGAAAAAAAACGTTTGATGATGATCGCCGGTGACAATATTAATAAACGTCAGTAAGAGACGCGAAATGTAAACGATAGACTATTGTGAATAGCAATCGTTTTATAATATATATCTAGTAAAAAAGAAAGACTCATTACTTTACAGATGCAAGTTAATTATCATTTCAAAGTTCTGTAAGCTTATATATTCATTTGAAAAAAATGTATAAAAATAAATCTATCCAAAGTTTGTTTTTGTTCACAAAACTTGCTATTTTTGGCAAGAGCCAGGTAGTTCGTTAGCTGTAGACAATTAAAGCCCATTCATGAAATGCCAATAAATAAGTAAATATAATGAGTACAATAACTAATCGCCAATTCATGCAAAGTAATATTAATGAGAAAAAAATTCATTCATTTTTCTTTTTCTACACAGGAAAATTAATAGGAAAGAATACATGTAGAAATGCTTGTCTATTATAGATCGAACAAAATATACTTTACTTCCTAAACCATTTTCAATAAAGTAACAAACAGTTTATGCAACAAAAGACTTCATTATTTGTAGCCAAAACGTCGTTTTTTCTACTGATTATAAGTTGCTTTTAAACGAAAAACATTAAGGTTTTATGTAGATTGCTCATCAATAATAAACTGTCTATTCGATTATAGACGTATTTCATCGCCAATATTACTTAATATCTAGACTATTAATTTTTTCTTTCTTTTCGTTGATTCTAACCAGCAACGATGCACATAAATTATCAATAGGAAAATGCACAATTGCTATCATGAATAAGCGCAAACATGACTTGGTTAACTATCGTCATCGTTTTTTGTATTCTACTCATTTCTATAGCAGTTATCAATCACATAATTTAGACAAATAAAAATAGAATCTTTCAAAGCCAAAAAAAAACTGAGACGGTACTTTACATNTCCATGTGTTACATACCTATAGCTACTCGATTCTCTCGCACGATGATGTCTGCGTTTCGCTTCAGTGGATATTAAAATCGAGCAAAGTGAGTTTTGTTTCTAATAAGGGATCACAACATTGTGTCAATGAAAAAAGGAAAAAAAGAGGATTGCAATAATAGCACGACAGTCATCTACCTGTGTTCATTTTATATAATCAGATAGATATGTATATCGATTCAAACAAGAGAAAAAAAAGATTCGATGATAAATTGTTTCTTGTCATATAAATAAAACCAAAAGATAAGAACAGAAATGAACCTTGAATTTGATAATTAAACTTGAAAGAAGTAAACAAAAGAGTGAAAACTATGAAATTATAATTAATCAAAGGCTCGAAATAAAAAATCTTTGCAATGCAATAAATAGACATTTATTATGGGAAAAGTATGTGAAATTTTATTTTTTTTGTACTTACCTGTTGATGATGCTTAATCATAGACAGAGATACAGTAACCACTGTTACTATAGTTGATATACATCAAGATATTAGAGATACAGATATTTCTATATGTATACAGTAAAACCTTTCTATTGTGAACATCATCGAGACCGCTAAAAGACGTTCACTATAGAGAGTTGATACATACTTTGTCGCCAACCGAAGATAAGATTCCATAGGCGTACTATCATAATATTACTAGATAATGACTTAGTTATTTATTATTTTGTTCACCTAAATCTAAAACGAGTATTGAAGTATATAGAGTAGAGAAAACATTTTGATTCTGTTTAACATTTTAACATATTTGATATAGTATCAAGCGGAATATTATATTCTTGAGCTAATTTACGTTGTTATAAACTACTACGATAATCGTTATCACAAAATTAACAGCAATTATTCTTACATAATGCACTTGTGTTGTGACACCATTGTTTACTCCACATATACAGTAGTCGAATCATATAAAGGATGTACCCACTTAAATTGTATAAAACAAAGACAGAATAGTAAGAGGTCAAAACAAGACGTTAATGTTCGAGAGAGGTTATATAATCGAAATGTACTGAAAAACAGAGTTCACTGTTCAGAATAAGGGTCTGTTCATATTAAAGAGAGAGATAGGCATTTCAGTAAAAAAAAATGCTCTTTCGAACGTGAGACTATTCATAATTAGGCGGTGTGCACTATGAGAGACTTTATTGTAAATATTTTTATTCCATACAATATCACGGTATTTGTTTCTTAAAATCTAAAGACTCACATATGCATTGTATTCTATAGTAAATGATAGTCATTTTTATATTATGTAAATGACTAGAAAATGCTATTATTGAACGAAGATTTTTAATGAAATCGATCTTGAGTGAAAACATTTTTGGTGTAACAAAACTGCTTTTATCACAGAAAGAGAAAGCTTTAAAGTAATGGTTCATTTGGTCTGTGTAAAAAACTATTATAAAATATTGCATGCAATGATATTAAGTTGATCATGTATTTGGCAATCGCCGAGGATTGCTTTAAGCGAGCCTAAAAGTACGAAGACAAACACTTTGATCGTCATGACGCACAAACAAAACAGACAAATAAAAAATATTACCTTGAGAATCATCGTAGACGTTCTTCACATACAACTGCACACCATATTTCAATAGCGTCTCTATCGAATATAGAAATTACTCTCTAATTGGATTTCTAGAGCGTCAAGTACAAGTGTCGAAGAAATGCGTTCAAAAATAGAAGGAAATAATCATTATATAATTAGCGAGGATAGCTATATATAGTTTCATATTTTAATCACACAGAAATTTCACTAGCAGACTAAAGACCTGATTACTATAATTGAAATATTCTTTATTTAGTGTTATGTCTGGCTAACAGAATATCAATTGCATTCTATTCTAGGGAATTTTCCTAATATCATTTGTTTTGCATTAAGCTCGTAAGAATCATGCTAGGCATTAAATTTCAGATTACTCACATATAAAGTTTCTACCTATTCATTCTATTTACTTTTCATTGGAAATTTTCAGATCCTCTTATGACATAAGGGTTACCCACGCACTGGTGCATTTCATGAGTAGTATTCTTAAATTTAAGAGATCTTATGAATGAAGATTTTAATGATCAATCATTTTTATTCTTATCGAAAGACATGAAAAATAAATGTTATTCTTAATCAACTTTGTTGATTTTCATGTCAATCATAGTGATCCGTACATTAGAAGCATCTCATGTTACAGTTACTTCACACAATTCAGTACGACTATTATTAAGATTATGAGATGAAAAACATTTTTACTTTTATCTAAAACATCCTTGATTACAGTAAAACAATGATAGAATAGAAATGCTAAATACTATTTTAAGTAATGTTTGTATTTACAGATTAGTAATCAATACAGTATTAAATTCCGATTAATATTAGCATAATTTCTTACCTTAAAAATGAATTAGTAATTAAAATTCATTTTTGATCATGATTCAAATTAGATAATGCGCATTTAAAAAGTGTTAGAGGACTTACTTTCTCTTTCTGCTTGTATATACATATGAATACAAGATGGTTAAGTTATTTAAGCACTAATTTCTAGAAACTTTTGTGTGTCCAATCTAAGTCAAAATTTATTTTATCGTAGGTACTTACGTGATTCAATGGGGCGAATTACATTACTGCCTAGAAATAGTTCCGATAACATGTTTTCATTGTCTGAAAATGAAAAAGTAACGCTTTTTTGACTCATACTAAATATTCTATATAAAAAAGCGACATAGCGTATCCTGATGAAATCACGCTTCATCGATTTTTCTTCATTATGTGTCATTAACAGTAGCATTCCAAACAGCATGAAAAATTCTATTTGAATTGTTATTTCATATATCATCGATCTTTTTTAACAGGTTCATTTACACACTGGTGCAAACGTAAAAAGAGCTGCTGTAATAGTTTAGATTTATAGAGAATATTTTCCTGTAAAAAGAAACTACTAATTATTTCAAATAAACTCTCATCGGGTGATGAATACAATAGTCGTACATTGATACCTTACAAACACATTTTATATCTCATTTTAAGTAAGAATAATCTCACATAAGAAGCTTGATGTATGAGTGGGAAGCGACTAACGCAATTTCGCAACATCGGATGTTTTTTAAATAGAATTTATAATACTATTCAGAGTGCCATGATTAATGGCATAGAGAATAATAAAATAGGAGAACCACGATATCAGAAGAAAATCTTTTTTTCTCGTTATTAATTTTCGCTACGAGTCACAGAAACATTTTTCTAGTTCTTCATTTAGAAACAACCCGTGAAGAAAATTAGTTTTAAATTAGAACTCAATTTGTTTTGTTATATCAAGTGTCACAAAAAAGTCTCATCTGAATAGACTCGTCATTCTGTAAAGCTAAGCAGTTGGATAATTAATAAAGAGAAGAAAACGTGAAGTTGCAACACTGCGTAATGGAGAACTCACGAGACGTGGGGCTTGGGCAAGAACTTCTGCTAGAATAATAGACGATATAGGTTGTAATTTGACAACAATTGGACTGTAGCTAGCCGTCAACTTTTAGAATTCTACGAAAAACAGTATAAAATTGTCTATGGGCTCGATCATGTTGATAGCCATTATATTGATGATAACTCCATCTGCATTTTTCCGAAACTGATTGTTCTCTTCTTGATATATTAGTCTGTATGTGTCTTACAAACGCATCGTATCATCTGCTCGATTTAAATATCTATATCTTGGCTGTGTGAAATGCAGTACAGCAGCCTACTAATTTGATAATAGCTGTATTTGTTAAATCGAAGAATTGGTCTAGAAAATTGATTAATGATGTATTTTCTCCAATAATACTCGTGTTGTCTATCATGCATACATCAACAGTTACTCATCTTGAGAAATCTCATGCCTTAATATCATCGGCTTTATCTATTATTGATTATAAAGAAAAAAAGCTGCTGATGGTTATACTGTATGAATGTGTTGTTGCGAAATGTATATATTTTCTATGGCTCAGAAATATTTTACTGTTTGTTTTGAAATAATTATTAAGTCAAGAATGAAGTACATGACACAAAATATAGACGATACTAAAGAGATATATCGAATAATATATGAATGTCAGTGTTTTTTTTGTGGTTAGTTTGGCGATAATAATAATAAATATTGCTGCCAACAAATATTGGGATCTACATGTTTGTGTGGTGTGACTTTAGGTCTTCATCTGCTGTAAAACAAGATCTAGAGTCACTTCCAAAGATATTTCTAAATGACTAGTGAATGTCTATTATTCTTTATTTTGTTCTCGACAGCATCTGAGTAAGCAAAATCATTGATAACTACATGAATTTGCTCCATTTTTCTAGATTTTGCTTCGATTAAAATGTCAGATAAATCGTGTGTTGTCTTTGCATCTACTCAGCTACGCGAAACACTTTCGACCATCTTTCATCTCTTGAAAGGCAGCGAACCTCATCAACACTAATCAAATTCTAATTCATCATTAATAATTCTTACTGAGCGGTGAAGCCTAGTGAGTCCTTTCATATGATAAAGGAATTTCACTTTCGCATTGCGAATACATATGCATAGTTCCAAGATGTAATCTTGGTTTGTTTCTTCAACTAAATTTAGAACATACTGATACAAATCAAATAGAAATGGGTCGGTCTTTCTATACAAATTTGCCGGCATGATACATTACAAGACACGAACAGGAGCGTAGACATATCGGACAGGTGAAAGGAGCTAATGTAATTGTCGTGCACCATAAGTCAACAGATATTTACCGAATTAAACTATTATGATGGTAGCTGAAGAGAGATCTGAGTATTTCAATTACCCATTTAGATAAGATATAAGTCATTTACCATAGTTTTTAACGAGTCATTATACGTGTACCCGAATAATTGTTGGAAACATACTGCGTGATACACTTTTTCTTTTGTCTGGTAACATGCTATCTGATTTTAACTGAAAAAAAGCAGTAAAAGATCATGCGGAAGTCGATAAAGTTCTCAGATGATCACGGTGAAACTTCAACTTCAACTTCATTAAACATAAGCAATTGAAAAATATTCGTAGAAAACACAGCGACAACTTGTGCAATATAGATCGAACCAATTAGAATGATCGATTAAGAGCCCTGATATTTTTATTTTGCCTCTGTACACTTGCCAACATGTTCAGGACTATGTATTTTTCGTTTGTCTTAGCATCACATATTTTTCTCACAACATGATATTATTGAATACAACTGAATATTAATTGTTGCTAACAATGATATGTTAATTCTAACGGAATCCAACTTTCTGCACCGAACGCTTTCGATTCTAGCTCTTTCATTCTAAGCTGTGCTGGTACTTTATGGGAATATCTGATAAAAGCATTCTATTCATCTGCCTTCATTTTGTAAAAAGCGTATCTTGTCTTATATACATTCATTTAGTATTTGAGAACTCAACAAGGTAGTAAACTTTGGTTTTTGCGAGTTCCATGCCGGAAAATTTTCGCACTTTCCTCAGTGAATTAACCATTCCTTTTAATGATCCGTTGACGATAAAGAGAAAATTATTTCTCTAAATGCTGCCCTGTGTAAGGATAATATGATAGCTACTAAAATCATTCTATATAAAAGATCGTTGAACCTAATCAGTAGATATGTGACAACATTATTTGCAAATTGAAATATTTTTAATTTTGAGTAGCTGAACAAAGTTGTATAGAACTCTCACATTTTCATGGAGAGACTATAAATATCTCATGCGTAGCAATGTAATACAACTTCCATACAATCTCAGAAGAGTGAATAATGTCTGATACAGATTTATACGCTGACACAGATAAGATTAAAAGTCTATCTCAGGAGCCAGTGAAAAACAAAACTTCATATTTTCATTTTCGTCTTCATTCATTTGAAAGTAGAATTGACTTTTAGTTAAATAGTTGACTAAACCGAGAGAAAGAGACATGTTTCTTTCTGTAGTCCACTATATTATTTAACTAAATGTCAATTCTAATTTAAAACAAAATGTAAAATAAAACAGAACACACCATTTTGTTTTCACTGAAGCGTGAGACAGATTTGTAATTTTTTCTCCAGGAGTTTTGCATTAATAAAAAATAAGCTGCTGCATTTGTTCCACTGCGGATATATATACCGGAGTTATTAATGCTAGCGAGTTGAATTCAAAATTTATTGCAAAAACTCATGAATTTTATTTAAATTTGAATTATAGTTTATCATATTGATCAATAATTTTATACATAGAGTAAAGGAGAACTGAAGTTTTTAATGCGATGCGAAGCATGAAGCATTTCTGTAGTCCGTCGCGAGTTTACTTGTGTTTTCTTTTACTTTATCGACGTACGCATTACAGTTTATTATTTTATATCTTGATGATCTCGAGAAGTGAAAGTCATAGAAAAGTCATTAAAAAACGTGAGATCAACATGTCAAGATCGAACGTTTTACCTCTGTTTTTGAATCTTCAATCCGACGTTCCATTCGCTCACAAATATCGTTTCAAAATGACGAAAATGAACGTGAGATAATTAAAATGACGTCATCAATATATGATAGCCACTAAAGTCTATTCATTTACAGCTGATCTTAGATAATGAATCATGAAGATAATTAAATGTTCAATCGAAATCGTTCTTGCAAAACATGTCGCTAGACATACATGGAGTTTTCACAGTGATGCATTTGTTAATGGTTACTCAAGTAGTATTTGCAATTTCGATCAGCTAGCTCAGTAGAAAATTTTCGTTTTACATTCTTATACATAAATAGAGAAGTCAAGACCGATTTTTCATTTCTTTTTCTTGGGAACTATACGTGCACATCATATCAGGTCATTTTCTGTCATGATGATCTCAAGACCAGAAAATCACAAATAACTCGTTCCAACGCATTGTAAACATATCGAGATCTAACTGTTGATATTTTTTATCCCATCTTTCATCGGACATTCAGTGCGCTCACAGATATCGTTCCAAAAAACACAATTTTGAAAGGACTTTTCGATTTCAAGATTCGAAATGATTAAAATGATGTAATAAAAAAATATTAGCCACTAGTCTATTCATTCACAGCTAAAACTACACAATAAATCATAGATATATTTAAATGTTCAATCGAAATCGTTCTATAAGAACAAGCTCATACGCCTTGATAGAGTTCTCGTAGTGATAGATTCGACAATAGCTGCTCTGAGTGAATTTTAAATTGCAATCATCTACTCCATTGAAACCTTTTTTGTTTTTTTATTACAACTGCTGAAGACAGGAAAAGGTGTAATTTCCAAGCGAATATAAAACTAATCAGGTCAAAACGATGTCTAATTAATTGTAAGACTGTTTGTTCCTTTTCCGCTAAATTTTTTATTTTTTCGTGTACTCGCCTCGTGCTTCGCACCGCAATTCGTATACGAGTGAAACTCGAATACCATCTGGTTTGAAATACAAATCTTGAACTAAACTAATTTATATTAGCAATAATGTTGTGCATTTCATTTAAAGAAATTTTTATTTTAAAAATAAAACGCTATAAATAGAATTCAATTAATTGAACGAAATTCATTTCGATTACATTAGAACCAAAATATTATTCACAGAACAATAATTGCAAAGTCTATCGACTTTGTTTTTCAAATCAATACATTAATCATATCAAGAATAAACACACCTGCTAAAAGCTCTACAGTTATTCGCGACTAGAAGAATTCTCTCTCAACGTAACCACACCTTGTTCTTTGTTTTATGTACAATGCATAACTTCAATTTCATTTTCTTCTTTAATTGACGTTAATGTTGAAGTACGCCGAAGCACAGAGGAACGCCTTCGATACTGTGAACCAAACGGCATTGGATAATTTTTTATATCAGCCATAGTTTGCTGATGACCATGCGAACTTGACGTATGTTTATCAACTGCCGTAATACAATCACCATTGTTTAATGAACGAATTTGTGCTGCTTGATTGAAACTCCACAGCACTTTAGATATAAATTTTGAAAACCGTTTACGAACAGTTCGTTTATCGGATTTCATCGTTGAACTATTTTAGGAATAGTACGATAATATGTGAAAAAATTCGTTCATAACATGAATCAATACTTACCATTCAGTATTTAATTGTGGTTGTAAGTTATTGTGAGGCATAATTAATATTTATTCAATCTGAATGATAGAATCAAAGTTCAATTTATATTTGATGATACGAAAATTATTTAAAGATCCTTAAAAAAAGTGGCTAGAGAAAAATACTGATTATTCATTCTCTATGGGCCGAGTCGAAAAAAATTAAATAAATTTCGAAACTTTTCTATCGTTGTCTCTATTTATTAGTTTTTGATCTACAGTACGAAATGTAAATCCGTCTCTTTTATATACTTTTCAATAAGTGATTCTCTTTCTTTTTTTTTGCATTCTGGAGAACGCAAGACATCTGCATTTGAAAAACAATTTGCAACCCTGTTTTTTTCCTCTTCTATTTTTCGATCAAGGGGAGTTCATCGCGTGACGTTTTTACGTCGTTCTTCGACCCTACAGAAGGAGAAAAATATCACACACTAGTGCGAATCATGGAGAATAGCTATTGTTGACATCGTAGAAGTGAAGAAAGATTAAAAGAAAATAGAGCATGTTACCAAGGTCACCAATTTGTGTCGTAAACGAAGCTAAAAGGAATGTCAGTCGACGTAAAATAGAATATTACGAGTAGGAAAATCTTTATACTCGACACGTTCGTGCTTAACCTAAATTTACGGAGTCTTTAATCAAAATTTTACATTCTTACGGTGTTGGAATTCGAACTTTATTCTACTCATAAAATGAGACGTGAATCCAACTACGAAAAAGAATTAGTTTAACGGTGCCAATAAAACTATGTAAGAATACTTAATCTCATTCTATGATGATTTTTCAAAGGCAAAACTTTCTTTTTTTGTGGAAAGGAGAATAGGAAGACACATACTGAATAATATTTCTAATCTACTTATCTTACACCTGTTGCTTTCTTGGTTTTTATACTCATTTGAATGTTTGATTTTGAGCTTGAGATTTCAAATGTGAGAGTATTTTGCTCGCGAAAAGACTATTAAGATTGTTTCGAGAAATTTTACACTCGATCAAAAATATTGATAAATCTGTCAAAGAAAAAGATTTATTTCTAAGGCAATATTCGTTAAGATTCGAGTAGATTTTTATCAGATACCTATTTATAGTTATTTGTGTAGAGATAATCAAATGCGAGAAAAAAAGAATTTTTGTTTTCGATCGAATAAAAAAAATATTTCTAAGGCATGTCCAGAAGCTTTAAAAAATTGAAAGTTCCATTAAGAAAAAAACAAGGGTGTATGTAATAGAGAACAATGAAAAGTCGACTTTTCAAAAAAGAACTGTTTACCACTATGCATTACAATGGTCTTTATTCAAAGTCCATTTCATTCTATTTGCTTGATCGAATCTGTACTGTTAATTAATCCAATTTACAAATTTTTCGTTTGATCATTGAAAATTTTTCATGTTGGATACATCGATTAGAACCGTAATGTTTTGTGTTTTGCTTAATTTTTTTGTAATTACGTTTAGGTTTTAGTTTACTTAAGGAAAGAAGTTGATCCTTTTTGTTTTTTAATTCGTTCTCTAAGGCATAAAAATCTATGTTGTTTTTTTTTGGTTGCAAAAATATGGACGAGAGCTCTCGTTTGTTGTTTTATTTGCGTAAAAATAACTCTTCTTCAATTTTAGTTATCAAACCATATAAGCAGTACAAATATTTTTTGAGGCAATTTGATTTTAGTTTTTTTCATCAGAAACGAACTCAAGTGACACAAAAAAAGTCACGCCAATCAATGGCGTATTTCAATATAGAAAAAATATTTTAATTCATCTTTCATTCAATGTTTATTTTCTCTCCGGAATTTTTCTGCACTGAAAACGTCGTATTTTAATATACGCATGATACGAAAACATTCTCTTTTTTCTTCCTTCTTGATTTGATGTTTTTATCGCAACATAAATCAGTCAGTTGGAATCGAAAATAAAATGTGAGTACAACGCAGATTTTGAGTGAAGCCGAATGAATGTACACATTCATATTGTTAACGTTTGAGCATCGGGATATTATTAGCTTTCATTTGTTTTTTGTAGGAAGTAAAAAATTGTTACTAAAATTAGTATTAATATTTTCTCTAAGTTCAATGATATTTTAGTAAAAATGGGTAGATTTTACGTCATCGCAATTTGAGTAATTATAACGATTGTGCAATAACATACAAACGATAATAACGAAAAAAGTCTTTTGATTTTCGAAAATTTTGTTTCTCACTTTAACTGATATAAGCCTAGATCACATCGAATGGTTTCTTTTTCTTTTATTACATAAAAGAGATAGGATTGTGAAGGAAATGTTTTTAAACCAAGACTAACCATTTCTGATCATCGTTATTCCTATAAAATGAAATTACCAACCATTTTTCATTAAAAAAAATAACCTTACTCTTTACGATGAATTAAGCGACGATATTTTTTGCTTCAGAAATGGAAATTTGAATTACTTTATATAATTAGTTTCAAGTCTATCAGAGCGTGTACAATTTCAGTCAAGCGACAAGTTAACATTCTTTACTCTGGCTTCCAGGCTCAGAATCTTCTACGATCAAATTTATTGAATGTGAAGAAGTCTTTTGTCTGAACTCTCATAATTGTTTCCTGATGCTAAATGTAATCTATTCAAAAACTTAAACTCTAGCTTCATCACAAACTTCCATAATCTAGGTTTCCTCCACTGTTAATGCCCTACGTACAAATGCACAAGATTTATAATAGGTTTTTCCCTGTAGTCTTCCCAAACTTGAACTGGATATTAGAAATAATGTCACAATCTATTGATATAGTAATATTTTGCTTGTTTTCTGTTATCTCGACGATGTACATCCTCATATATCGCCTAGAAAAATTCAGTTCAACTTCATGCAAACTAAATCAAATCTTGGTTGAATAAGAAAATATACACTCTTCGTGAGCTTTTCCTTGAGTTATTATTTTTCGATTCCAATATCCACTGATTATCAAAATATTTTTCTACTTCGTTCATTCATTCAACAACATGCCCTATTCAATATGATTGATTTAGCTCTCTGTCTTGCAAATATTTGAATGAAAGTTTTAGTAACATTAATTCGGAGTATTTAGCCAATTCTATTTTTATAAAAACATTTACTTTAAACATAAATACACTCAATAATGAAGCAAAACGATCCGTTGACATAAAATAATGATTAATACGACCTTCACGAAAAAATGAAATTCTTGAAGTTCACGAGGTGGGTGTGGGTGTGTGGGTTTTCAGGAAGAAGTGTTCTTCACACCCACACCAAGCCCGAAATACTGGCTCCAACACTGGAATTAAGGGGTCAAATTCTAGTTCTTTTTTGGTCGTCTTCCCAAATACTGACATAGATTAAACACTGGCCAGGTAAGTACTTGGGTCTCCATGGCAGATTATTGGGGTTCGCAGGCCCTGTTGATGCATTTCCTTGGTGAGGTGTGAATGATCCGGGATGTATCCCGCCCCTAGTCTCAATCCTGTTCATTCCTTGAGAAACCCTGGAAGGATCTTTCAGGATCCTGAATCTCCAGGATCTTGTCAAGTTTTATTCAGGATCCTGTTTCGAATCCTAGTAATTCTTGTTTCCAGGATTTTTCAAGGTGAAACAAGATCCTAGTCAGGATTTCTTCAGGTTCCTGCTCAGATATTTTTCTGAACTGAGAACGTAGGATCCATTCAGGATTTACTCAAGAACCTATCAAGGATCCTCTCAAGTTTTCAGAAAGGATTCTGTCAAGATTTTATCAGGTTCTCTTCAGGACCTAGTCAAATCATCGTATCAGGATCCTGTTAGGATTGATAGCCACATCATTCAAGGATCTTGACAAGAAAATAACAAGAACAGTCACAATGCAAAACTAACTAATCCTGGAAAGCTTCAATCAGGATCTTGTTCAGATGTTTTCAAAAATATGCGTTTCGAAACCTTGCAACACAATATCAAGCTTAATCAGAATCTTGGTAAGAAAATGTAAGGATTTAGCAAAGATCTTTACAAGTTACTGCTTAGTCCACTCAACCATGCCCATTTCTTGGGATAGATTTGAAGGATCCTTCAGAATCATGAATCTCAAGGATCCTGCCAGGTTTGACTCAGGATTCCATCCAGAATTTGTTCAGATTCTTGTTCGGATTTTTTTCTGAATTGAGTTTACAGGATCCTCCTAAGATACACTGGTAATCCTATTCAGAAACCTGACAAAAATTATAAAGAGAATTTCGTCAAAATTTCATTAAGTTTAAGTGAAAATCCATCCTGGATCTTGATAGAAGGATGCTGCCAGGAGTTATAATTATATCAGAGGAGGATTATACCAAGAATAGGACAGAATTATTCAGAATACTCAACTAAGAAATCCTGGCAAAGTTCTATCAGGTTCCTGAGAGGAACTGCTCAAGATCAGGTATTTCGAATGCTCAAAAAGGATACAAGTATGGCCAGGATCTTGATAAGAAAATACAAAGAGCCAGTTAAGATCTTCCCAGGTTTGTGTCTATAGCCTATTTCAAATTTAATTTTCAGGTTCCTATCAGGAACCTAGAAAGAATGAGTGAAATGGTTTCGTCTCGTTTTTAGCTTGGTTAAGATCATGATCCTTTCAAAATTTGAAAATCTACAGATCATAATATAATTTCAATAAAAATATTGACCAAAATCTTAACAGAAATAAACTGAAGGATTCTTTAATACGTCATGGTATTTTTTGTTCAGAGCACAACATAATTCTGACAACTGAAGAATTTACTGGTATTTTTATCCTCATTTTGATCTGGGTCTTTTTGTAAACAAAAAGAACGATTCTTAACAATCTTGGAAAAAAAAGATTCTAAATCACTTTGAAGTTTGTATAAAAGTTGTTTTTAGATTCTAACTATAGCAAGGAGTTAGTTTTTAATCCTATCAGGAAAAGAACATTGAAAATCATTAAATTAGGATGTTAATTGAAATTTACACATCGGAAAATGTTTTCGTTAAATATTTAATTTTAATTTTAGTCAACAGCAAATATTTCGAGAAAACTGCTTATAGTTTTGATTATCTTCGAAAAACAAATTTGCAAATGTATTTTTTCAATCGAATTCAAATTTTAAAAACTCCAGGTATATCTTTAAATATAACTGAAATAAAATTCTAATTTTAGATAGAATTCAAATTTAAAAAAATAGTAAATTTCACCGACTAAAATAAATGTGTAAAATGATATTGTATTTTCAGAATTTTTTGAAATAATTTCTATCCATATAAAATTCAAATAGAAGTTTGCATTAGTCAAAAATTACTATGTTGAACGTTGAAGTGATATAGAATAAGATGGGACATCCAACTCAGTAAGCTGATCGGTATGTAAACTGAAAGTCTAGAGAACGATACTCGATGTGTTCATTTCTCTTATATTCTATTTAGAAAATCCTGCAAAGATCCTACCAAGAAACTGATAACATGCGCAATGAAATCTAGTTAAACCCTACAAAGATCTTGTCAAGAAATTTGATATTATCTTCGAGAACACCCAGTCAAATCCTGAAAGATACCATCAGAAATCCTTTTTTCCAATTTTGAATTATTGAAATCCTGAAAGGATCCTACACTTTCGTGGCTACACATTTCTTTAAGAAATCATTGATTTCCTGGCTCAATCTTGATTTAAAAAACAATGGTGAACTTGTCAAGATCCTTAAAAATATTGATTCGAATCCTGTCAGGATCCTAGGAAATCTTGTTTTGAATCCTGATAGGATCCTAAAACTCCGTGGCTACACACTTCTTTCAGGATTTAGTCGTTTCCTCAGGAAAAAATACCGAATCCTTGCAAGATCCTGACTATATCTATCAAAGATCTGGCGCTGAAACATCAAAGATTTTCCCTAGGGGCGTATGTGTTTGAAAATGTAAATAAAATCAAACAAAGAAAAAAAGCGATGATCATTGCAATGCAACTTTTACTTCAAGACAAGACAAACGACACAAATCAAAACGACGTAATCTAATTGTTAGTATAGGTTTCATTCGATGTCAAAGCGTTGAACACCCTGCCTATGAGTGACATAGAGGTTGCCATCCTGATCGAAGGATAAACCGATGGGTGAGTGCAATGGGTCCCCATTTCCCACGATGGTAGTTCCTTGTGGTTTATTTTGAGGCCAACGCATGATTCGCCCATTTTGCGTATCTGCCACATAGAGAGTACCCAAGGTATCGACGAATATTCCTCCAGGGTGCGATAATTGGTTCGGAGAACTCCCTTCTAGTTCATCTCCAGCAACGCAAACACCTTCTTGTGCATCTTTATTCCATTTCACGACACGATTATTCTCTGTGTCCGACACATAGACAGCTTGTTGTTGATCTACACAGAGGTAAGTCGGATTGTATAATGACCTGAGGTCATCAGACGGATTATTTCCACCTGCGACAACAGTGCCATTCCTTATGTCTTCTAGTGAATATCGTAATACTCTATGATTGTCGATATCAGAGACATAGAGATTTCTATGATCATCTATGGCTAATCCCCAGCAGGCGATATCTGCGATGAGAATTTCACCTCGCCTGGTACCAGCACGACGTAGCCATCGTACAACTTGTCGACTCCCATAATTGCAGATAATGAGACTATTGGTCTCTTTATCGATGAGCACATCAGTTGGAGAGTTCAACTGATTAAGGCCATATCCTTTACCCTTTCCACCAGCTACAACTTGTCCATTAGTATCCCCGATCTTCCATTCGATGATACGATCATTCGACCGGTCAGCAATGATGATCGTTTGATTCTCATCATCAATGACAAGACCATGGGGCGAGGCTAGTCGATTTGTAGCGGCGATTATTGTTTCAACCTGTTGTATGTCATCTTCTTCGCATTGTCCATGACGGCGTCCTCTATAGAGGACGCCGCGACAAAGACGAGAATTGTTTTCATCACTGTGTCCGCTACTGCCTTCACCGCTGTCCTCAATGCTTCCAGCAACAACCATGCCTTCCTGTGACCAGTGTGCATCAGTAGATATTTGTGGAATGACTACAACAAAGAAGAACAGATGAAGCACCATGCACTCTAAAAGAAATCGGTACTCTACCGAACCTTAATAGTTCCGCATTTCTCCACCGAACGATTTTAAGTTCTGTAGAGTGAAAACGTTCCGTGGTCTCCTTTCAGAACTATTTTAAGTTCAGCAGATTTCATCAGGTTTCACAATTTTGCGCCTGAACTCCTCGAAGGTTCCGTAAAGTAGTTCGTGGTTTCGTACATCATGTAAACATCCTCTGATAGTTTTGGGAAATGGCAGAAGGTTTCGTCATATACCCACTGAACCACTGTTGGCTTCGTGGATGAACCGAAGGTTTCGTATTATTTGTGCGGAACTATTAAGGTTNTCGACACTTTCTGGTCGCCATTAAGGTTTAGTAATATGTCCACAGAACCATTGCTGGTTCCGTAAACTGTAAAAAGGTTTGGAATATTTTCTGGAATACAATTGATGGTTTCGTAGAACGTTCGAGGGTTTCGTACTTTTTGAGCTGAACGGTTCTCACTTTATTATCCATGTCAAAGTTTCGTATATTTTATATCAAACCACTGAAAGTTTCGTAGATACTCTCGAGGTTTGGAATCTTTTCCACAAACCGACTCATATTTTTGTTCACGATCCCAACTTTTCGTATTACTTCTACGCAACTTTTTCACACTTTCTGGCGGGGTTTCAGGTTTTGTCGGATACTGATCAAACCAGCTTTCGTTTCGTAGACTATCTCAAGGTTTCATAGTTTCTGCTCCTTAATTTTTCACAAATTTATTATCTATGTCAAAGTTTCCTAAAGCTTATCGAGGTCCCTGAGTCCAAATCCGTTATCAGTTTTTCTCTCCGAGCTTTCATGGTTGAGAAAATTCGTCGATCTCGAGTCCAAATTTCACAAGGTAGACTTTTTATTTCAACTCTCATCTAAATTCTGGGGTAAGTTTGATGTGATGAAGGTAAATAATTTTTTTCTTTGTGATTGATTGATTCATTTTGAAAGTTTCAGGAGATTTGATTTCATAAAATAACAGAAATTTGTTTTGGTTAATTATATAAGACCACATAGATGCTATTTCAGGTGAGTTTGATGGTGTGTAATTTAATATATTTGATTTGTTTTTTGTTCTAAGTTGATGCTTATATGCAGTTTTAGGTAAGTTCTCTCTTAGCAAATCGAAGAATTATTCGTTTTTGTAATTCTAGGTTAATATAGATATGGAGTTTTAGGTAAGTCTGATTTTGAGAAATAATGAATTTTCGCTAATTTGTTTATTTTAGATTGTTTCAAGTAAAAGAATAGTGAAGTAAGTTTGATCTTATAAAATGATTATATTTATTCGTTTCTGTATTTTAGGTTGTTTCAATTATGGAAATCACGGGTGGCTTTGGCTTTAACCCTCTGCTGTCGGCCGCGGTATGCATACTATTCGAGTATTTCTCAAAACCCGAGTATGGCATACATCAAATGAATCAAAAGTAAGATGAAATAGTCTTTAGAATGATTTTCCTTGTGCAGAAAATTACTCTATCGATTATTTCATCTTACTTTTGATTCATTTGATGTATACCGTACTCGGGTTTTGAGAAATACTCGAATATTGTGCATATCGCGGGCTGCAGCAGAGGGTTAAATGAAATTTTTAACGGAACATTGTTGGGTACGAAACCTTTTTTTGAATGATTTCTAAAAGGTTTTGTACGAAACCATTGCTACGAATCCCTTTTTTTGAATTATCGTGAAGGGGGTTGATACGAAACCTCACTTTTACAAAACCAAAAAACGATCTGACGGTGTGCCGAGGATAAGACCCTTTTTTAGGTTCTGTAAAAAACCTATTTTTTTTTTGAGCGTGGCTCATTAAAAAACTAAGCATCGAAATTGATCAATTTCAAAGTTGTAATGGAGAAATAAAATATGCATAGCAGTCCAAAACAAGAATATGTAAATGAAAGTTTGCGTATGCTATCAGAAAAGATTTTCTTCATTTCAAATGCAAGCGATTTAAAAAAAATATTTTGGATATATGAAATGTTTCAGTTCTACTACTTTTAGTATGTATTCTAGTCACCAATAAGATTTCTTTTAACTCTGAAATTAAGTTCAAATATATTATTAAATCACGGATATAAGAGCAAAAAATGTATAAGGATTGTTTTAGAAATATGAACTTGACTGGCAGGGTATAATAATCAAAAATAAGAAAATCATATTTGCAATAGAATAATACAAAACAATCGAATTCATCTTTGCAAAATTTCAAATTGCTGAAGTCTCTCAATCCTATGGAAGCGAAATGAAACTATGGGCAAATCTGATTGAGAAATGGAGAAACAAAAACCTAAGTGAGCTAATCCATCTTCACTTAGTACCTGATTATAATAACAAATAAGCAAATGAATTGAAATAGTTGTGCCGAGAAGTACGTCCGTGTAAAGGACTAGATTAGATAGGGGTTATATGAACCGCCGGACGTCCACGTGTAAGTCATAGAGATGATGAACATACTGCAGTGACGTAACACATAATCGTTCACTGAACAGTGCGTAACCTTTCTGTGTATCTTTTCTCTCTAGATACCTTTCTCTTTCTCCGTGTCACATTCTCTCTNATAAGGAGGAATAATTTGTAATTGGTCATTTATACCTACAACAGATCGTAGGATGCGATCACTAGGACGCAGTTACGTTGATCTGAGTCATACTAAGCGTAGTTTCTTATAGAAATCTTCACTACGATCAATGCGCCATAGTTACGCCTAACTGCGACGCAGAATTGGCTCTACGCGTAACTGCGGCACAGTTGATAAAAAAGAGGCGACATGGGAAGACAGATTATCATTATCATATATTAAAGATTACATCGAATTCGACATTCAGTACTCTCAACTCATCATAGAATGAACTTGCAATAGTAAGTACATCAGGATCTTTATTATTGAATGTGACTGGAAGATACACCAAGTTCTGTTCGAAATGAATCGCTTCTCGAAAAAATGTTTTTTAGTACAATACTTTAATGTATTCATAATAAATCCCGCTCTATTTTCTTGCAAAAAGTCAACCTCGAAATCACTATCAGTCTAAAACTTTATTTTCAGTTGCTCGACGATGTGTATACGAAAGATGAATATTACCAGTTCTATCGTTGCAATTAGTTTAATCGCTCCAATTGAAGCTACTGATCCTAAAAATTTCATTATTTCAACAATTGGTGGATGGTGATGGTCGCCATGAAAGACTAGATGTTAATTGTGTGCTTGGGAAGTAAACTAACCTAGACTTGTTATTGAAGACAAGATCTGCTTGTGAAACCATCAAAAATCTAGATTTCAATTATTCTATACGCTTCACAAAGTTTAAAGTAATAAGTTTTGCCATTCCCGAGCTCTCGCGACGGATTAGAGCAAGTCAAATGAATATTGAGGGCAGATATATAGTGATTATGACTATTTCTTTTGTGATACCCACACATCTTTCATAAAACAGCGTAAGCCATTTCATTTTTATGCTTTTTCAATGTAGAAAATATATATATTCAATGATAGGTATGAGGTTGTGCGCAGAGGTTAAAGAAGCATTAGGAGAACTAAAAGTCATATATTCAAGCAGTATAATGGAAAAAAGTCACTCAATGGAAAATCAAGGATTAAACGTTTCATTGTTCTGATAAAGACTCTTAGGCTGTCGAACAGTATCTATAGTTTGAATTAACCACTGGCAATAAGTAGAAAACATAATAGCCGCTGCAGTTGACAGCTGTTATGGGTGCTAATGAATAACCACAGGAAGTTCCTGTATAAAAGCAAACAGTTCCTGTTACTGATGCACCAACTGTAGACGGTAGCGTTCCATTGAAATAGCCAGGATAACTAGTACCACAAGTATTTGTGGTTAATACAGGGGTCGTAAGAATTGATGAACCTGCAGATCCTGTAAAACGATACCAACCAGGGGTTAAAGATGGCGAGGTATCATATGGGGACCAACAACAGGCATAACCATTCTGATAATTTCGATACACTTCAGTGAGAGTTGAATAAGTATAGCATTGTATTGGTAAAGAAACTAAAAAGGAAGTACTTGAAATTAGCAGTGCGGCACAATTTAGACAACAATGTGTCAGAAAATGTTTTTTCCCGTGTAAAAGAAAAGTGAAATAGAGAGTGAAATTAATTTTTAGAATCATAACAAAAACGAGTCTAATTTCATATTTAATCATGCTGTTTATATAGGTTCTGCTCACTTCACATAGGAACATTGATATTATATTTTACTTTGATTCCTTAAAATGTTTAGCGTTCATTGTGATCAAATCACGTAAAAGCATGGTGAGGGTTTACGGAGCAAAAAGAGAATTACTATAGTTACCTGAGGCCGTTGTCGCTGTTGAAGTTATAGTCGATGTTGAACGACTGGTCATCCTAGGAAATGAACTCGAAAATAATTAGAAAAAAAGTAGCATTTCACATTTTTGTTCTTACCAGAGAGTTACAAAAACAGTCAATGGTATACCACACACAATAAAGGCAACTAAAAAGCAAACCATCTTTGATGAAGGTTTGTTTCCCAATACTTTGTTCCAACTAAATGAAGCATAAAACACCTTGCAAGAGAGATCGCGAAAATGAATAAGTAACGTCAAAATAGTTATGAAGATATATCCAATACAATTTATATTAGATGAAATTTTGAGTGTGGGTATGGATGAGGTTAATATACATACAACCATCACCACACACATGCTCTCAAGCACACTAAAAAGAACACCAGATAAATTTTTCGTACCCTTTCTTAAAGTCATTTTTTAATTCGTCTTGATGTTCTTGATTATAATCGATTGGATTTGAAAAAGCACCGTATTTCTGAAAGGGAGATTCTCTCAGTTCACGCATTTGATCATTGCTATTTGAGATTACGTTTTTTGTATTGTTACCATCAATATTTGCTGAATGAAGCAATTCATGGCGGTGCATCGGCATTGTTGGCATGATATTTTGGGTGTTGAGAGGCTAGAACATGGAAGGCATTACTTATTTTACACCTCAACTACATTCCATATTCTCAAAATAGTTTTATTTTAATAATTAAAATCAACAAGAATATTTTTCTAGTTTTCGACTCAATGTTACATTGTTCATGTCTCCATGAACATATTTAGGTTCAAATGAGAATGGTGAAACTATTGAATTCATTTTCTCATTAATATGAAAAAAACAAGATATGATCATTCATTGAAAGCAAACTTATTTTCAGTCGATGAAGAAAGGCTTCATCGTTTTGGTTGAATCAAGTTTATGTCAGAGTAACCTAGTGTAGTATAATCTAATTAGTCAAAGTAGTATTTTAGAATAAAGAGATCATGTTTATTAGTGTAAAAATATCTACGAAATTTCTCTGATCGTAATCAGCTAACTTTACATGAAAGATTTATTTCAACCGAAGTTTTAAATGAAAAATAAGTGTTCAAATAAAATACCTGATTGACGCTTGTTGAAGGAATTGTCTTTGGATGCACTTTAACAATAATGGCGTTTCCAAATCGATTGTTCATTTTTGTTAATTTATTACACAAGGTGTAGTTAATCTGAAAATAAAATAAATTGCATTGATTCGAAAAACGAAATTTATAAAACATTAATACTGCAATTGAATCACAGAGTTTCAGGATGCTAAAGATGCTTAGTCAATTATTTTGCTGACTTACATCAAACGAAATCAAGTGGTTCGTTTCTAAGAAATATTGGTTCATTTTATTTCTGCCTTATATACAATATGCCAATTTAGACAACTACGATTGCTGATGCCAACAGTCAGTATTAATCATGCTTCTTTTATATTTATTCTGAGTAACTGATGAAATACATTTCATATAGAAATGGGAAGCTGGGAACTGAGACATTTTTTGATTTGCATTGTATATATCCTATGACATTGTCAAGAGTATAGGACATCTCAACACTTGAAAACGAAATATAATTATTTGGTAGGCGAAAACTGAAAAAAACTATATGTAAATTTCAAGGTATTCATTGCAATTTCTCAATGATTTTTAATTTTGATGAAAACAATTTCGGAATTGAAAAATCCATTGAAAACATGGGCAGACATCAAATATAAACAAACAGAACTCCTCGATAGGGATGACAATTTACAATTTATTTTATTTAAATTAAGATTTTTCTCATAGAAAAGTTAAAATTAAAATTTTCACAATAAAAATTTAAAATTTGATAAATTGTTTGGATGGATACACATCATTACTATCAGAAAAATACGTGACTTTAACAGTAGTAAATACTAAATGAGAGGAGAACCTAGTATTTTAGGTTAATATTTGTTCATAATAGTCAAAATTTTTATACAGATTATCCAGGATCCGTCATCTTTCTTCTTCAGAATATCGGGATACTCATAAAAGTATATTTAATAGCACAATTCGTAGAAGAATGGCTAGCTTTAACTTTAGAAAACAAGAAACATAATTACTCAAATTTGACTTTAAATAATAGCAATCAAGTCAAAAACTATGTTTATCTATTAGCTTTCAAAATGTGACTAATTTGAATTTCAAACAATTTACTTTAAATTTAGTTAAATTTAAATGCTGCAAAATTTTAAATTTAAATGTGACACCCCTGGTTATATGGAATATGCTAATGTAGGTAACTACGATTGCTGATGCCAACAGTCAGTATTAATCATGCTTCTTTTATATTTATTCTGAGTAACTGATGAAATACATTTCATATAGAAATGGGAAGCTGGGAAACTGAGACAGTTTTCGATTTGCATTGTATATATCCTATGACATTGTCAAGAGTATAGGACATCTCAACACTTGAAAACGAAATATAATTATTTGGTAGGCGAAAACTGAAAAAAGTTATTTGTAAATTTCAAGGTATTCATTGCAATTTCTCAATGATTTTTAATTTTGATGAAAACAATTTCGGAATTGAAAAATCCACTGAAAACATGGACAGACATCAAATAAAAATAAACAGAACTCCTCGATTAGAGTGACCGAAAAAATCCTCACCGTTACCTGAGTATGTTAATAAAAATGCATAGATTTT